GTGATCTATTGACAGATGTCGCACTCAAAAGGGGAGAAAACTATAAAGTAAACTGTTTTTTTTTACATTTCAAAGCCTCTACACGTCTCCCACCAATCTTGATGCACTCCTCTATATAACGTAGTACCATCCGTTCCCGATATTCATCACCTGTTCTGATGAAAGAAAATGGATAATTTTAAAAATACGTGGCTTATCTATAAATGCGTCACCCTTTACAAATGCGCGCATTTGTTCAAAACGGTTAGTACTCATACATTGAAGAGCCAGCTGGTGCAGATAGTTCCTTTCCTTGCTGCTCATTAGGGCTTGTATTCTGATCATACCAGCTCTTAATTTTTGTTTCGTATTTTTCTTTAAAAAAAAACACGCTGTTGTAAAAAAGTACGTCTAATGTGTAAAACTACTGCAGGTTATCATTCGGTTTGCATTGAGGAGCCAGGTTATTAGCAGCAATTATGACAACTTATGATGTAAATTACAATGAGATGCATAATAACTTATAGTTTCCGCATAACCTGCCACATTAAGCCACCATCAGCATCATCAGCCGGTCCTTCTTCCCAGAATTCCTTGGTCATATCCTGCACTTTGATGGGTGTGGGAGATTAAACAGGTTTCTCTCGTCGTAGGTTTAGTAACCACCACGTCATGTGGGTTTTGTGCATTAACCATCGCATGACCTGGGTGACATTTACAAGTCAAAACGTGGAACTTTTTTGTTATGATACTGTTTTACATATTCCCACAAGTGTAACTGTCTAGCTTAAACAACTAAAGAACACGCTGCATGTGCAGATTACCGGTAGCGTGTACCCAGTGGCGGGTTGTGGCTCTGGCTAGATTTGGGGAGCCAATAAAGTTCTCACAAGGTTCTACAGTGTCAGATCATGTGTGCAGACAGATTCATAATTGGACTGCAAGGGCACCGTGCGATGATAACGCTGCACCAGTGCCCGGCACCCAACCTCTGATCGGTTCTCCTTGAAGGATGCATTGGCTGCATCGTGGAGCAAGCGATCAAGCCACTGCCCATCACATTCAAGCTATTCATTCCAGACCTGCTTGACCCTCCACGAACTTGAGAATAAGTCTTTCCCCTTTTATCTGGCAACAAAACAGGTGTTAAGTTTTTTAAAACACCAAACTGAAACCTTTTACAAGGAATCATGTTTGCATTGACCACAATATTTGTGGTCAAAATGCAAAATAAAAACATACTCTAATAAGATATGGCATTGTCTTTGAAACTGATTGGTCCACACCAGAGACAGCATTCTTTTGAGCCTAGTCTCAAACGGTGTTAGACCAGAGGACGCCAAAAGGCATACCGCATGAAGACAATGCCACTATCAGAGTAATGAGGGCTCGGGGTGAGCAGCTACATCATGGGACCTCCTTTGCCAGTACCAAAATATGAGACTACGTTTTTCCCCTTTTATCTGGCAACAAAAGACGAACTTGTTTATATTTCCGGAAACCAATGTGGGATCGCGCGAGACAATTGGATGAAGCGGGGCCAATTAAAGACCGCTGGCGAGCACTGGAGTTCTGTGGACATTCCAAATGAAAGCCTCATCGACAACGCCACGGTGCTACATCAACCGTTTCAGAACAGCAACAGGTCGCTGGGCACACACCTCCTCCACAAGTGGAGAATTAAAGACAACCCACGGTGTGACTGCGGCCACCCGAGGCAGACAATGGACCACGTTGCGAACAACTGCATCTTACGCTCAATCTCCGGCGGACTGAGCAGTATTAGTCGCGCTATTCCTGAAGCTGTCGCGTGGCTCACAGACTTAAACTTGGACCTGTGGTTTGCACATACTTGCCATATGCTAGAGAGAGGGAGAGAGCATCCCTGCTGCTCGTTGTGAGAGATGAAGGCTCTAGAAATTAATTGTTCTATTAGCTGTTCTATTATGGAAGACACGCCTTGTTATTTAAACAGACGTGATACGGACAAAAGTTAACGATTGAACGACAACATAGGAATGGAAACGCTTTATAAAGACATGCGTTGCATTCACCATTGTCTTAATCATCAGCCATTTATCCACCGCTGGGTGAATTTTAGTCAACACTCTTGCCATCTCTCCATTTTGTTCATATTTGCGGAGTGTGAAACAGAGAACGGTGATGGCACGCGTGAGCAGTCAGGCTCTTTATTTTTAAAAGTTTCACTTTAGCAGGCCTATCCTATTGAGATGCAGTTTGCATTAAGTCGCTGTATAAATAACGATTGTAAAAGGTGCGTTTTCCAAAGCACGTCACTCTTTTCTTCTTTTCACATCCCATACGATGTGGTGCTTTGCGAATGGATGGGGGGGGGGGGGTGCTTCCTGCTGTTTTGAAGCAGAATGCATTTTTGTGTTGGTATGAATCTGTGTATCCATAATAGATGTTCTGTGGTAGATCGCGTAAATGTAAACGTGTCTAAATTTCTATCCGAGCATAGACGGACTCGTCCGTCTGAACAACCGCCAGTTGCTCTCCGTGGGGTTAATGTTAAGAAAAAAAACGCCACTTTTTTTCAAATTTTCTTGCCGTGCTTTTCACACCTGATGATGATGATTGCTTGTGCTACAATCGAAACGTCGTGAGAATTTTATTGTTTTATTTTTATTATTTTATTATTTCCCTTCTACGTGACTTTACCGAAAGAACCAAGAATATAAACGCGTCGTTAAAGCCGCCACCACCAAATACGGCCAATTAATAAGGTTTGTCACATAAGCAAAACATGCAAATTCGTTACTCTACAACACATCGGTGTGCTGTACTCGGAACGAATAGCATACCTGTCAACCCAAATGGTTTACCCGCATTCTTGTGCAGGGAAATTGAGTTTTCAGGTCCGTAGGCGTACAGCCGTTTCAATACGGGCAAAAAAAAAACGTTTCTATTCGATTGTGTTTCTCCCTTGTGATGCGACTTTGTAGGATGAACTTTGAGATTTATAAGGGCACGGCATGACTAATAAGGTCTGAATTGGTTTGTAATAAGGCAGGGCACTGATAAGGGGTTGACAGGTATGGAATTGGAACGTTTTGTCCACGTGTTTCGTCAGGTGGTGGTGCGTTTAACGCCACATTTATATTTCTGCGACCTAACCCAAAAACCTCTATTATGGATAACATTGGTCGCGAAAGTCTACGTGTTAAACCACTCTGTATGTATGTTGAACTTTTTTTTTGTACCGTAAGTAGCCAACGGTGCTCATCGGAGGTGCCGGGGCAAGGATAACAAACTAAACACAAAAAAGCAGTTCTAAACGCAAAGCACAACAAACTAAACACAATCTATTGGTATTCCAGCCTGGACACCGCATCCTCCGGTCGTGATGGAGTTTCTCGTCATCTTACAGAGCAATGGATTTGAATGTTGGGCGTAAAGGTGTTGGATTTGAACGGTGAGAGTGGGCGAATACATTCCTGGCCGCTACGTGAGAATGAAAGGATCGGTCAGAGTTTTAATTATTTTTATTTGAATATTTATTTATAAACTGTGCATGGGACAAAGTTACAAGCCATTTTTTTTTCCAAATCCAACATTTTGCACGAAAAAAATGTAGCTAGTACACAAACAACTAACCCCAATAAAATGCTCAGGCTAATTAAGGCAATGTTACCCCACATCACATACCTAATGTTTAAGCTTATGAAACATCGATGCTTATTAATGAGCTACTTCACACAACAGACCACTTGTCAACCGTATTCAGTTACATCGTACAGTGCTGTATGTACACGCAAACTTGGCAATCTGCCGGCATTGATGGATATTCTGGCGAGTGTTAGTAAAACTTCATAATCGCAGAAAAATAATATATTTAAAATGTCGATTAAAAAATAAACAAGAGGGAAAACTTATGAAAACAACGGCAACATTTCTTTACAATAAAGTCAGTTCTTCACGAAACAATGTGTCAAATACTTTGGCATCAATAAAAAATAAAATATACAAAATAAAATTACGAATAAACTGTATAACTTTACAATCCAAGCAAGACAAAAAAAATTAAATTATACATTACAATATAATGACGGGTTCTACTTCACAAATGATAATTGTAAAAAATAAAGAACTGTGGAATAATTGCGCGACGTTGCATACACCAACAACCTAGAATATTTTGACAAATTAACAAAGTCGACCACACAGTATCCGCTTTTAAATACAGCAGTGATTTTTGTTGCAGAGCACAGACGTGTTTTTTTTTGCACTTCGAAGATGTTTGCCAAAGCTGAATTATTCGTCATGTCCTGCACAAACTAAATCAAGAGTTGGGACAACAGCTTAAACGAAGTTGTTGCTGTTATTGTTACAGCTCTTTTTTTTTAAATCTTGCTTTATTTAGAACGAATGTGTACCGAGTTCATGAATAGTGGTTATACGGACCCTATTTAAGTGTAGGCATGGCACTGAATTCGTTTTTGTACCACGTATCACTAACATGAATCCTTTAGTTTTTGCCAACATAACTATAAAAAGCACCTGATGACTATTACAAAAAAATACATGGCATTGATTCACACACTGCATACACATGCATTGCTTCACACCGATCTCCATAATTTGTAGTAATGTTCACGTATGTATGTGTACATAGATACATATACACAAAGGCATATCAATATGGGCCATTTTAACACGTAGGCTTTCGCGACCAATATTATTCATAATAAACGTTTTTTGGGTTAGATCGCGTTATTTATAAATGTGTCGTAACCCTCCACCACCCGACACCGCCAATCAGCAAAAAAGTGTCACGTTGACAAAAGACAAATAGGTCACTACTTTAGCCCACCGGTGTGTTGAAGAGTGAATCCACAACTTACAGTTTTTGAGTACGACGTTTCGCTGGTAATTACATCCAGCATCATCGGGCAATTCACCAGAATGGTGAAGCCCTCACTTGCTCCCGCTCTTACGACATATTTATAAACGCAATCTAACCCAAAAACGTTTATTATGAATAATATGGGTCATGTTTTAATATGGGCCATGTATACACATCTCCAGAAATATATAACTGGAACATGATATGGCCAGCTAGGTCCATACATAAATTTAGTATATACACAAATAGACTTCCAATGTATGCTCAACCAGACATCATAATTTAACCAAATGTTGATACTACAATCATTGTATGCAGTTTATTTGTGTCACAATTTGGAATTTCTTGGACAAATCAACTGCATAGAATTGTTCTGCCAAGGTATATGACCAGTGTAGAAGAGTAGGCGGAGGCCCTGCCGCCAGCTGTAGTGGCACAAGCAAGTCATTACAGTGCTGCACCTTTACCAAGGCATTTTTAGAGTTGCCCAACTCAGGTCTGGCTTAACCAATAGCTATCTGTGTATGTATTCATTTAGCCAAGAGAGTGCACACACGTCCTTGTCAATGTAAGCTGCACGTGAATGCAGTGGTGATCCCTGCCTCTCGCGGCACTACTGGCTTCATACCTGCGTACGCAAGAAACTTGCATGCTTTTGATACAGATCATTATACAAACAATTTCCGTGACTCAACCCTCAACACGGGCATATAGTACACACGTGTATTCGCGGGCAGCAATCAAGCTATGTTACAATGAAACTTGAAAAATATCAAAATGCTACCGAGTGAGTACAAGACAAACGGAACGCATGGTCCTTTTCACATCCCCTTTGTGCTTTGTTTGCAGTCACACAGGAAGCATTTCTACTTTTTTTGGGAAATGAGACCCAGAAAAAACAAAGCACAACAAAAACGTCAACCGCAAGATTTTACCGCAAGCAGAAAATAATCGCGCCGCAAGCGTGAAAAGAGCAAATAGCACGATCTGGAAAAATGCCAAGCGCAAATTCATCACCGCTATCGAGCAACGTTTGGGGTTGCCGATGGAATACAGCTTCAGAATATGGGCGGCGGGCCGGCGGCAACTCCGTGTAATTGGGGCTTCACTCCGAGCAGCACGACCACCATTCCCCGATCAGCTACCTCATAATTGGCCAAATATTAATCTTTTATGGAAGGAAAAAAAAAAACACCTCTTTACATATTTAACCTGTAGAAAGTTTGTTTTACCTCAGCTGTTAGCAATTCAGAGGGTGGCACTGTGACGCAAAAATTAAACGGACAATATTTCGCATGACTCATTATTTTTTTTTTGGCTTCTGAAGCGCGTTGCTCTCATGCACGTGAGGTTGGGTAGCAATGTAAGTCGTTTAAATTCTGCAGTTATGGGAAATTACTTTGTATATTAAAGATAGATTTAGCCAGTAAATGTGCATCTCCCATAAAAAAAACCGAGTAGTTTTTTACGAAGTAGATTTCAACAATTATAAAGTTGACAAATGGTGCCGCTTTCGTTTTTTTACAGTTGCTGCAGAAATGTTACAAAATGTGGCAATTATTTTCAGCAATGTTTAACGTCGTGATAATTTTATTGTTTTATTTTGATTCTTTTATTATTTCCCTTCTACGTGACCTTACCGAAAGTACCAATTTACTTCACGTGATTTTTTGAACCAAGCTTTTTCTGAAGTATATCAAAGAGGGCAAAATCCAAAACATGTTTTTCACGCTGGCACTAATATATTAATCTTTCCCAAAACAGAAATTGCAAGGGTGTTAAAACACGTTGGAATTTAATTATGGAAATATGAACTTTTATTCAGAATTATTGAAGCTATTATTATGAGAATGCAATTATTAGAATGTGTGAAATCTTCATTCACCTTGGTCAATCCAACATCATTGTTAAAAAGGACATCAATTAAAAAGTACGTCAGTTACTACCGTTTTAAAAACGCTGTTGTTTTTGGTCAATGCGCAACAGTAAAATGGAACTGCAAAGTCAGCAAAGACGTCTACAGTATTTGTACATATACCTGTACAAGCAAACATACTGTCAGATGACAGCATATTCATTGCTGTGGCCACAAACCAGACAGCTATTGTGTGGAATGTTTTGTAACAAACGAAGCTGGTGTATAGAATATTCATATCAGATAAGCTGTCTTTGCTTTTACAGAAAACAGCCCTGTCCCATACTTGGTGGCATTTGGTCCAAGCCTTTGATCACTGACACATTGATAAAGGCCATGATTTGTTCGGGACATTGGGCAATCGTCACAGGCAATTTTAATTTGTTACGTATTCATCATGGCCAACTATGGCATCTTGATATGGCAGTGGCACAGGGTGAAGTCTATCTGGCCATGAAAAAAACATTACTGAAAATTGTATTAAATTAACAATAATTGGTAGTCACATGACGTATGTCTGTGATCTGATTGGTAGCTGGCTTCGCAGTCACCGACTAGGCAGACAGCGGAAATTCAGATTTCTACAACATTTTACCGCAAAAGAAAACCAGGATGATTGCCGGAGATGACTGAATTGAGATTGCTCTGGTCAGGGATTAGTATCAGCCGTAGATGTCCGGGGCCTGAGGCTGAGATCCAGAAAAGATTTCCGCCCCCTCCTTCTGCCCCCCCCCACCTCCTACCCACACTCTTGACAGTGTGGGTAGGAGGGGAGGGGGGCAGGATCTAAGGCATTGGGGAGTACCCTGAAAAAATATTCCACGCGAGATTAAGCCTTGGCCCTAGTGCATCATGACCTGGTGTGTTTGCCCCTGCCAACAACAACTGAGCACCATGGGTCACGATCCTAAAGGCTCATGCTTTATTCACTGTGGTACTGACAGCTTCACCACTGTGTGGAGGTAACCGGTACAGGCACCGGACAAACACAGTGGGTGCTTCGGCATTCTATTTTATGAGAAACCATGATCTTTAATTTGACGATAAACCATTATCTGTCAGCCAAATCAGCTCCGGTTAACTCACAGCCTGAAATGTGGGGGAAATGTTTTTGGCACGGTGCAAACATTTCTTAAATATTTCCTTCAATTAGTTGGTGAAAAAATTAACCGGAAAGATATGTAAATTACCATGGATGAAGAAAGTAACATGCGCACGTAGCTGATCATTGTGTGATAATCGTTATGTCTGTAACAATGCACGGATTCGTCAATTAAAATCGATTGTTATGCTCATGGCACCGTTGAATCGTGTGCAAGGGAAGTTCCCATTTACGCACGCACATTTCGGTTAATGGGGCGAACAAATCTGTACAAACGAAAGAACAAAAATGAAAAACACTACCAAGTAAATGGTAAACACGAGATAAAACAAAACTAATTAGTCTTGAATCAAACTTAAAAAACGCAAATTGTGATTGTGGCCGAGTACAATAACGGGTTGTTACTACCACAAGCAGGCTCCACGGTTTGCCGTTCTCACCTCTCAAATTGACGATGATATACTGGGGAGGTGTGGCCCATTACGGTGAATAACAGACTCGGCGTGGTATAAAATATGTAGCGATGTGCCTTTTGGCAGCATGGCAAAGGTCACCATCGCTTCCCTCCCCCTGCTCTAGCAGCCGATGCACTCAAGTGAAGCTTCACCTTTGTCAGAACGATAGCCGCAGAGCCAATCGAAAGAGGCCTTTAATGTAAAACATTTTTCTTTCTTCAGCTATAATGGAAACACGGTTTCGAGAAAGCAGGGGAGGGTGGGGGGAAGATATTTAATAATATTAAGTATTAAAATGGGAACAAATGTTCCCATTCATCATACACGGACGTTAAATGATAAAAATGTATTTTAAATTCCTGTAGTGCTCAAGGAGGGATGCTATGAAAAACAACTGAAGCTCTATGCCCCAGGCCTAAGACCGTCTGATATTCAAATGTGTAAAACGCCCAAAACGAGAAGCTCTTGCATTTGATGGATGCCGTGTCAGCAGAGGGTGTAAGATGTCGTGGCTGTGGAGAAGAGGACGTCCTCTGAATACCGGATGAACTGACCTCAAGCGACACCCATTGAGAAAAGAAAATATCACTCCCCGCGATCAGCGCGCGCACTCGCACGCGCAGCAAATATTCCTCGCGTTGGAGGAATTAGCTACTACTCGTCTATCCAATTTTATTAAATTTTAATTAGTCTCCTGCCCAGCCAGTGCCCCCCTCCTCTCCCTCCCCCCCCCCCCCCCCCTCCCGTGATCCCCTCGTCCCTTACCCCCACCCCCTCCTGCCCCGTTGCGTTGCCGATCGATTGCGAGCGGCTCCTTAAGCGACCGTGGTGCCGTCCGTCACGGGAGACGTGGCCTCGGATCCGGTCACCTTCTCCTTGCTGCCCCCGTACTGGCCGATGAAGGAGCCGTCCTCGTTGAACTGGCCCTCGACGCCCTCCCCGTACTCCGCCAGGCTGTCCTCGCTCTCGCCACGCTTCACCTCCCCGTCCAGCGACGGCTGGCTGCCCGCCAGCGGCTTCTCGTCGTTGTCGCTGGAGAGGCGTTTGGCAGAACGGGGAGGGCACGGGAGGGGGCAGGCAGACGGGGTTGCGGAGAGGCAGGGTGAGGTGAGGTGGGGTCGGGTGGGGGGGATGCGTGGGAAGGTTTCGGAGAGGCGGAGAGAGTGTGCGGTAGAAGAGGTCAGGGGTCAGGGTTAGGTTTGGCAAGATGAGTGGAGGAGATATTGCAAAGAGGACAGAGATTGGTGGGAGAGATGGACACGGGGACGGGAGAGACAAATGTAATTTCACGTCGAGGGCAAATTCAATTGAGAGATGCACGATAGGCGTCGGTTTTGAGAAAACCATCCGTGTTTTCTCGCAAAAGGCTTCGTACCGCATGGGAATAATTGATCAGGCAGGGGATGAAGGCAAGCTTTGAACGGAAGTTGTTGAGCATTCATAGTCAACAGAGATTGCATGGGAGGACACATTTGTTCCTGGTCCGAGCTGGTTTAACCCATTTTCTTTGCGAGCTGCTTTATTTCAATTGAAACGTACCTTTCCAGTGTTCTATTTCCCCACGTGTTCGCAAATGGTAAAAACACATTGTGTTATTAGAATAATAATTGTGACACACAGAAATTAAAATACAGGCAGACAATGGCACGATGTCCGCACTTGACACTGCGTCTCATACCTGTATTCACCAAACGTCTCCTCCTTAATTGGTTTAGCTTCGGGATCAACCCGGGCATCCTCCTTATCTTTCACTGCAAAGATAAAGCGATGGGAAAGTGAATTAAACACGCGCGTGTCAAATGAGATGGCAGGGTGGCTCTGAGCCTCAGAGCACTGAGTGGATATAGCTGAGATTCTGGGTTCAAATTTCAGATTTCAGCCGCCCCTGATCAAATGACGTTCTTAAGTGTAGCCAGTTGATGGCCTTAGTCTGGTGACCAATGAACGTGCAAAAGCAAAGCAGTCGATATTATCCATCTCTGAGAATATACAAGAGACAAATATAGGATTGTGATTAGTCCAAACAACTAACATATCTCTGTAGCAAAGCACGTGAGAAGGTTCTGCTTTCACACAAAGCATGTTTCATTGAAGCTCTGTCGTCTCGACAGTTTTGTTCCTTCACCTGAAGAAGGCTACTTGTGTTGTGGCCAGAACGTCGTGAGAATTTTATTGTCTTATTTTATTATTTTATTCTCATTCTACGTGACTTTACCGAAAGAACCAAAGAAGACAAAGCATGTGGATGAACACAGAGGTCACTTGAAGGCATCTCATAAGTAGTTCTGTCATACCTCCCTCCACAGGCCATTCTCCAGCACCTGGGGCAATGGACAGCTCTCTGAGAGCTTCAATGGATATTGCGTCTCATGACAGGCGATGCTCGTATAGCATGCTTGGAATTAAATCGTGGAGAACATTAAAATGCACGCTTGCACGGCATAGGGTTTCCACCTGTCCCAGTTTTCCCAGGATTATCCTATTTTTTAGGGAAATCTGCAAGTCTTCATGGGACATTGACAGTCCCGTATTTTATCGATTGCGTAATAAAATTATAATACACCACACATGGCGATGCATTTCCATTTAGTTATCGACTTTTCTGGCATCGTGATACATTTTTCTTCTCCCGATATGCCCCTTGATTTTTGTTTGTCCTTCACAAGTGGCAACCCTTGTGCAATAAAGCCAATTGCTATCGCTCGACCTCAATAACATCACAGCTCGAGTCGCACTTTCATCCACAGTGCAATCGAAGTGGGGTGTTTGTTAGGCACCCTCACCGGAGTACTTTCCACCCTTGTTCCTCTTGATAAAGCAGATGATCAGGAGGATCATGATGAGCAGGACGACGGCACACATGAGTGCAATGAACCAGGCCTGCGTGGCCACATCGAGAGGCCCTCGCCGGTATCCTGCCAAGGCGACACCGCAGAAGCGTAAATCAACAAAGCAGCAGTAGCCAGCGGTGGCAGCAGCTAGCAGCAGCCATAGCCAGCAGCAGCAGCAAGTAGCAGCAGCATCGCCGTTAAAACCATCACCACCGCCGCCATATAAAAAAAATTCGGCATCATCGTCATCAGCCATGATCAATGCACGACTGTATAGAGGCCTGTCCAAGCTGTCACCATCTGTCATGGTTCTGCCATGTTATAATACACCTAGCACTTGCGCGCTGCTTTTTGTGTTTAGTTTGTTGTCCTTCCCCCACACCCCCGATTAGCACGGTGGGCTACGTACGGTGCTTCGAGATGGTTCTCCAGGAAAGGTGCTCTGTAAGAATAAATGTATAGCTTCACGTATTATTATTATTATAATAATTATTATTATTATAATAATAATACGGTGCGAATTAGAATAATGCACAGCCCTTTGTCAACCCCCTGCTGGAAGTAGGCCTCCCTACGCCACATCCGTCATAGGCAGGGGTCGTCAACCTGCGAATCCGGAGCCGCATGCGACGGCTCTTTAAGGACTGAAATCGTGACTCATTATTTATTAAGGACCACCACCGTCTGGTATTCACCACACAGTACATTGCGGCTCTTGAAATATTGAGGTTTTGTTTTTTTTACCGAATTTGAAACAAATGGCTCTCCTTGTTGTTTCGGTTTCCGACCCCTAGTCACGCGGGTTGTTTGACCATACTTCGCCACGCTGGTTGGTGAAAGGGGATACGGGGCCCAGCACCCGGTATAGCCATCGCCCTCCACTGACGCAAGCCCCTGCCTGGAATCGAACCCAGGTGACCGAGTTCAGCGCGTGAATCGCGCGCGGCACCACCGTCGCACCGTTCCCCCCGTGTGCACCTCTGCCGGTGGTCTCAATGACGTCCTCGGAGCTGATGGTGTGCCCGTGCTCATTGAAGGCCACCACGCGGATCTGGTACTGGCTGCCCGGGGACAGCCCGTCCAGCAGCAGGTGATTCCTGGACGAACTCACGACCGAGTGGTTGCGCCACCCGCCAGGGCCTGTTCATTCGAACAACGCGCTCATTAAGGATGGGGATCTGCATGTACAGTGGCGCGTGATTAACTCTTTCCCAATCCGAGACGTCTGCAAGTTGCAGGGCGGGGTCCCGTTCGCCTCGGAACGCGCAAGTGGTTAGCGTTCACTTCATTCAGAGAGACATTATGCTCACCGCAGAGGACTGTAGCGACACGACCACACTCTATGATAGCTGGCGCCAAGCTGTGCCACACGCCCTCCCACACGGCCTTGTGGGTGCCTCGGTACTGATAAAGTTATTTTAGTTTTTCTTCCGGTTCCGTTATGATGACATACACGTATGCACACGTACGTCATCAGAGTGGGAAAGCGTTAAATGCCCCAGCAACTCAAAGTGCCTTAACATCCCACACCATCTCAAAATATACAATGCCATGCTGCTGTCGAGTTGAGGGAACTCCCTGTGGCAGCTGTCCTTGTGCGCCACAACGTGACGCATCACCGGCCTGCAAACGGTTCTTGTTTGATGAGGTGTGAATTTCATTGCATAACTTTATCCTGTATCAGTTATATATTTAAAATATTCGTATACAAGTCGTTGTGTTTTATCTGTGTGTCAGTTGGCACCCTGGACACCCTCGTAGATTACATATTCCATCTCAAGGGATTTTAACAAATACATAAAAATGGGAATGAGTCTGCCGTATACTTAGTTCTAAATTAAGTAACTTGCGAGTCATCAAATTTGACAAATTTGGATCATGATGCCAGCACACATGGCCTACTTCAATGGATTAGAATTATTGTTGCCATTAGGAGAGTAATAATGGGAGACTCATAGTCTAGGGGTAAGCCCATATATGGTAGGCCTCCATACATGGGGTCCCAGAGGCAGAAGGCAGCAGTGAATATTGATGACCATACTGTACCGATGAGCCCTAATGAGGAAGAAATCGGTCTAAAGTTGTCTGTTTCGCCACTGCCTGGTGGGACGGCCACATTATACGCTCTTTTAGTTAGTGGTTTAGACCGCAGGGTCGAGAGCATTACACATGCCATGTGGTGGTCGTGTGACATGGATGAAAGGCATGATGGGAGTCGCATCTTCCTGCTGTTTGTGAGTAGCACACTTTATTATGCTGTCATTTACAGTTGTGTTTTATTGCTGCTCAATCTACCGAACTTGTATTTTATTTGTTTTTATTTCATCGTTTGCCTCGGTGTGTTGTTTATGTGTTGAGATTATTTAACTAGGATTGAAACACTGCATAAACTCAATTTTTTTGTAAATTGTTGGCACATACTCATTAGATCAGAGTGTGAGAATGAAAATCCAAGTTAAAACAAAACAAACAGGTCACGCATCTGCGTCTCATTGTAACTGTAACAAGAAGCTTACTTCTGCATGCAGTGGCACGTGTCTGTGATCCTGCCATTTGGGGGGAGGCAATGGTTGGTGAAGCGTGCAGATTTGTCAAACTCTCAAACCCACTGGGCTGTGCGGTGGCCAGGAAACAGCGGCGCAGAAAAGGGTTTATTGAAGCCTGTGTCACACCCTTATCCAGTCAGTTTATTTACGATAAGGCCCAATGAGCTAAGAAGCTCTTTTCCAATGGCAACCCGCCCATAGTGGCTGATATACGGTATCAAGGAATTTACCAGGGAGGGGGAGAGTTTTACAAGGGGCTGTGTAGAACAAATGCAGGGAAATATTACGAACGCGACTAAAACATGATCATAAATTATAACAACAGCAAAGATATGTACAATGGAAATCGTGTAAGCAATGCAAAGAAAACATTACGGATGACACAAGTGAGATGAAATCACTAGTATCATTGTTTAGTATGGTTCCCTCTCACATGCCAAATCCTTGTTCATGGAATATGCCAGATATTACAAACGAGGCTCCTCTTGAACATTTTTTTTTATTTGAAACTCCGTGAGAATGTCCTAAACAAATTTAGGGCATTATTAGCATGACGACGATGACTGTTGTTACTATTTTCCTGACGCCGTTCTAAATCAGACAATAATCACCATGTTTGTCTCGGAACTGGATGAGGTATTCCGATGCGGACTGCCCCACTCCTGGCACCCACGAGATGTTTGCGTATGTGTCACCGCGTGTCGTGTTCATACTCAGCAGTACCGGCGCGGCTGGGGCTGTTAACAAAACACACACACACACACAATATCAAGAGTTACAACAACAACAACAAAAACCAGCTCCACTAATAGTTTCAGAAGAAAAAAAATGTATTCCCATGGCACATGTTAACAAAGTAATTATCCGCTTAATGGAACACATCCCCAAAGCGCTGCTCATCCTTAGAATAACAGGAAGCAACCGCAAGTTAAAATTCCATCGCTCGGCCACACGAGCGATGGGGAACGACACGCAAATGCACCCCCCCCCCCTCCTCCACCACACCCCCCCTCCTCCCCTTGCAACAGCGACCGCGGGTGGTGGTGAGAGGGCTGGGTTGCGTAACCGACAGCTCCTCCTAGAGGTGACTCTCACTGCGGGGGCGTGTGATTGTAAGAGATCCGTTTCATCGGGAGGGAGGCATCACGCTAATGTCTCTTGCCGAGGGAACGAAAACCACCAAGACCTCCTCCGTGCGAAGAACCTTCCATCTCATCGCGTAGCCCTGCCGGCCCCCCAGACGATTGGTGAGCGCATCATCATCATTCATACATTCAAAAAGTCCAGGTGATTAACTGCTTAAATGAGCACTGAGGCAATGCCCATCTTCCGTTTACAGCCTTGAGACTGTGATGGAAATTCCACATTCCTATGGCAAGGGTGAGTCTATGCATAGACTCAATGCTCATTTAAGAACCAAGAATATGAATCCCTGCAGTCACGAAAGCTTTAAATCTAAATTTTCCCACATAGTGTTACTCATTTTAAAAACCCCCAGCCAGGATTTGAACTCGCAACCTTCCCATTACGAGTAGCTCGCTCTACTGCTAAGCCACCTGGCCAGACAAATGTCACAACTATACACAGGCACATTTGGTATTCGTGCCAATCATGTAGCATAATGCTATCGCGAAGGCGCCGTTTCACACAGTCGGCAGTGGTATTGCTACGTGTTCTCCCAATTGGGTGCTTTTCAGGCGCCGTTTCAAATCCGGGAAAAAATGTGGACTGTGGTGCCGGCACACGTGTCCTACTCTTTGTTTTGAACCACGTCATGACATCTGGTAACGCCCACTGTGGCTAATGCACCCAGAGTATTAACCGGGGCGGCCGCGGGGCTCAAACCGCGTGCCTCTGCAACAAGCGTCGAACGCGCTCCGCTATGCCACCGCCCCCTCCCCGGTAGTCGTCCCTACTTACGGATTTCCAGAATGGTCACAGCCTCCTCGGTGAGTATTTTCCCGGTGCCGACGCTGGTGAAGGCAGCGATGTAGAACTTGTACTTGGTGTAGGAGTCGAGGTATTCCACCCGCAGCTCGGAGACGTTGGCAAAAAGCTCTACCCTGTGTAAGGTGCCGAGGTTCTGCGTGTTGTTGACTGCTCACCCCCATGCAATACACATACACACACAACAGCAGCAGCAGGATGAATATTGCTGAGGCGGATATATAAGGGGTACAGCAATCATTTTTACTTGTGGAATAAAATGCTGCCCCTGTTGAGTCACCCTCACGGCACGAGCGAGTCTGCGCACAGACAAATGTGAGATTAATGGGTGGTGGTGGTGGAGAGACTGCAGCAATGATAATTGGTATTGTACTACGAGAGCGCATGGCTCCATCATCTACAACATGGCTGTACATTAATAACAGGCTGCAAGTTTGAAAGTGATGAATACATGTTAAGTAGCCAAATGGCGCATCGTCCAAGAACTCCCTCGAAGAGAAGGGGGTAGCTTTTTTTTTACTGAACTAACTAACTTTTAATTTTAGCAGGTAAGTCTCATTGAGCTATCTTGCTCTTTTTCAGAAGTGACGTAGCCACAAATGATGGCTCAATGAAGTGGCTTATCACATGGAAATGTATAGCAGCCAAATACTCTAAACGCGTGTCGATTCCAAACATGGAGGGAAAAACCGGAGGAAACTGGAGAAAAATCCACGTGGCCATGGGGACAGCACGCAAACTCCAAATATACAACAGGCATCAGGGTCGGGACCGAACCCATGCATCCTGCATACCAGGCAAGGGAGTTAACATCTTGCCACTGCAGCGCCCCTAACCACTGTAAGCACTGCTCCACCACTCCACCTCACTATTTTTGCAAACAAAGTGAGAGTTTAAGCACAGGTGTGTGTGTGTCATTACACAAGTGAGAATCTGCTATGTAGTACCCACCTGATGATGGACGCTTGTGTTGCGCCCGAAACGTCGTGATCTATTTCATTTTATTTTATACCGACGTGACTTTACCGAAAGAACCAAAGAGTATGTAGTACATTATACTTTTTTGTTGTTATAAAGACACAGTGTACTTACTGTTCTGATATTGGACGGTGTATCCTGTCAGGATTCCATTAGGATGTGCCGGAGGGTCCCATGTCAGCGTTATGGAATCAAAGTCCTTTTCTGGAACTCTTAGGTTTGTCACCTGGCCCGGCACTAAAACAACATAATGTGGAGGGAAGAGAACAAGGTCAATGTTACCTCTGCCATCACCTTCACCGCTCACTGATAGCCATTACCTTCGTACGCACCATTAAGTCCATTTCCATTATCATCAATCATTAAGTCTTCTTCGTCTTCATAATAAAAATTTAGTTAATCACCTTCAACATTATGAATATGGTTTGCCAATTACTAGTTGTTAGCACACTCCCTTGATCTGCAAGACATATCATTAAACATGAAAACTATGAACTTATGAATATGTAAGTTAAAATACCCATTATATCAGTGTCCTTGAATAATGTTCGCATACATGAAAAATAACACGCGTTTTTTTACAATAATTAACATCTTGCTTTTTAACTATTAAAAATGTATGTTTCAAATGGTATAGTTATTCACTCACAAACAGCTATAATTGTATGCAGTGCACAATTCCATTGGTAAACTGATTTTTATGAATGGTAAAGGCAGAAAGTCGGCAAAGGAAGAATATTCCAATGACCCACAAAATTTGTATATCCAGGCTCATAAAAAGGAACCATCCAGATTCAATAAATAAGGTCCGGCTGGTAAATTTATGGGCAAAAAAACCATGCTGGTAATTGAAACCACTCATGACTGCATCGCAAAATATGACCTGAAGTACCTACATATATTAAACAAAAACAAAAATGTTGACAAAATAACAAAAATTAAGATCAAATTCCTGATTGAAATTGCGTGAAAATGCGCTTTGTTTACTTTGCAATTTAAAGACTTATGCGGACGATCGGTTTGCGTGTCCGTGTTGAGCCCTCGGTGAACCATGGTCACAGGCCGACTGGGGAATCCTCCGAGTGTCTCTGATCACCGACCCCAACCTCGCCAAAACAAAAATACCCACAAAGAACCGCGACTACGGACACGGATCCAGCTTAACAGGAACTGAACTACAACACGGGGTTAGGACCGTATCTCATACCTGCCAACCCATATAATTTACCCATATTCTTGTACAGGGAAATTGAGTTATCAGGTTCATACCGCATACAGCCGTTTAAATACGGGCAAAAAAAACCCAATTTTGTCTATTTGTTTGTGCTTCTCTCTTGTGATGGAACTTCATAGGATGATCGTTTAGATTTATAAAGGGGCACGGGGGTGACCAATAACGTCTGAATCGGTCTGTAATAAGGTAGGCACTCATAAGGGGTTGACAGGAATGGCATCTTCATACCGGCAGTTGCGTCGCACAATTGTCCATCCCACTTAGCCCGACACGAATCGCAAAGCGCCCGGCGGACTCTCTATCGACCAGCGGCGAAGGACAAAGCGTGCACGACGGGGACGAAGTTCGGCGAGCCGCGTCGCCGCACCCACCTCCTTCGGGCATCTCGACGCGCAGCGCGTGGCTGGCGGGGCCATCCCCCTTGCCGTTGAAGGCCTTCACCTCCAGCTCGTAGAGGCTGAAGGGCTCGAGCCCCGGCACCACCGCGTGGCTCCGGTCGCCCGGGAACACGAGCACCCTCCACTCCACGTGGCGCCGCCTCCTCTCCTGCAGCCCCCTCAGCTTGCGGTAGAAAACCTGTGCCAGGCAAAAGTCCACCGTTCTCATCCGTATACTTTCTCCGTCTCTATGATTTGTTTCCGAGTGCCCGTTCCCCCTCCCCACCCCCACCCCCCCCCCCCCCGGTTCTCATCTGATCGGTGGATTCGTTCATAATCGAGGTTTTTGGGTTAGATCGCGTAAATATATAAATGTGTCGTTAAACCCGCCAGCATCCAAAACACAGCCAACTAGTAAGGGTTATCACGTAAACAGAACGTGACAATTCGTCACTCGTACAGCAACACCGGTGTGTTGGAGAGCCAGGCCACAACATTTACAATCTGAGTACGACGTTTCGCCAGTAATTACAACTAGCTTCATCAGGCGACAGCCAGATTTGTGGAGAAGTCTTACTGTTTCGTTCCTTATATAGAGGCGTAGATGTGGTGACCACGCTTCTGTGATCTTGCGTAAAGTGGGGGGGGGTTGAATTTAATGAGTCAACGTACATTCTGCATGTGCATTATGCGGATTTGTTGTTTGTTTATTGTTTTCTACAGTGGCTATCGCACGTGTCCTTTACGGGCATTCATTTTATGATCCTTTTTCCCCACTCACTTATCTCGTCGAGCTGTGGCATTAAGAAAGTGAAGTGATTTGTAAGTGCGCTTGTTGGATGCATTCAGCACAGGTTCCCGGTGAGCGAATGCCACAGCGGAGTGCTTGCCGAGAGCGCAACCGATGGGTGAAGCTGTGGCAATACAGGGCCACTTTTTTTTTTTTCCTGGATCGATGGCTTGAAGGCCAGGCACTTTGGGAGGCGTTCCGGTATTTACCTTGTAGCCCTTGAGGTGGCCTCGCACATCATGGACAGGGATGGGGTCCCAAGTGAGCTTCAGGACAGTGCTGTTCACCACCACAAACTTCACATTCTTTGGGGCACTCTTCGGAACTGAGAAAAAGAATGACGCAATAAAAGGTATGAAACTGCCACCCCAGGGCAGCACAAGGTGGCAGCCTGCAGGGCAGCACAAGGTGGCAGGGCAGCAGCATTTTTCAGCAGCCAGATATCCGGTTAATCCGATTACCGACTTTTCCAAAATTTCAGGGGGGGCTGAGCCCCCCCCCCCTCAGCCCCCCCTGTGGCTCCGCCCCTGCTTCGCAGGCCAGTAATTTTAATTAAAGCTGGCCCACATTATTTTACAGTGATGGCAGATGGCTGGTATGAATGTTGGGCATTTTAAACTTTGATCTTGGCAGCGTAGCACCGTGTGTGGCTGCTTGTTTAAACACTACGAATTGCCGCGTGCATTATTTTTTTGTTTCTGCGTCACTCATGAAGCTGCTGCAAGCCCGTCATGATGCACACCATCAATGTGCCGAGTATATCGACTGTAATTAGGAAAATTATCGGCGCTAAGTGTAGACATATGCCCATGGCCTCGTGGTAGCGCATTCGTCGCTTGTTGCAAGGGGGGTTCACGGTTTGAATCCAGCAACCACCCTGATTATTGCCGAAGGTTATAATAACCATGATAATCCTATGTGCGTCTGCTTCATAGTGAACGTTAAAAAGCCCCTCATATCAATCGCAAGAGTAGGCCATTGGGTGCCGGCGTTAGGGTCCAAATTTGCAAAAATTCGAACATTTCTCGCAAATTTCCCAATTGGAACTAGAGTATATACTGTATAGAGCAATCATCGCCCCCTACTGATAGACTGTCACATGTAACTCGTGCAAATGAGACGATCCTTGGTCTCGTGAATTCTTAGCTGGATAAACAACATAAACTTGAAACTGGCAATTTGAAACTCAAGCGCTCATCATCCTCTTACTTTGTGACAGACTGACGGATCTAATGCATAAATGATTTCAACCATAGTTGAAAAGCATACAAAAGTTAAATGCAATTTTTTTTTTAGTGGTGGACCCATTGCTAGCTTGAGCATTTTACCCCACCGTGCACTTTGCGATCGGTATTCTCTCACCTCCTTTTGCTTTTCTCTCTTTCTCTATCTTACCTCTCTTTCCTCCGATTTTATTTTCTGCCTTAGATCATCATGGCTCGCGGTTCAGATGCATTCATCTACACCGGACGAGCCATTCCTTGTGCATCCTTGTTCTTTTTTTTTTCGTTTACACGCATATATATCATTCGTTGAGAAATATAACTTACAAAAAACAACAACAACAACAACACACAAAGTATCAAAGTGACGTCTCACAATCCTCTCCGGAGTGGCCGACGATGGCCATCGGCTCGGGTCCTTCCCCGAGGTCGTTGATGGCCTGCACCTTCACTTCGTACGGCACGAACGTCGCCGTGTCGTTCACGAGCAGTCGCGACGCGTCGGCGCCGAGTATCGCCTCCTCCCACGGCTCGCCCGTGCCCTTGCGGCGCCAGTTCACCTTGTAGCGCAGGTTGGGCCCATTCCGATCCAGGTGCTTGAGAGGCTTTTGAGAGGGGGGGACACGACACAACGTTCGGGGACCGTGCGTTAATACGTTAATATCTCTGCCCGCATGACTTGCTTACTCACTAAACTAAAATATATAGTTTTTGCCGGGTGAGGCCCACTGAGGTATATAGCGCTTTTATTTTCAGAAGCGACCTGGGCCGCAAATCATAGCTCAACGAATTCGCTCATCACGGTGGAAATGTATCGGCGGCCAAATACTCTCAACGCATGCTGATGCTAAATGTGGAGGGAAAAACCGGAGGACCCGGACACAAATACACGCGACCACAGGGAGAGCGACAAACTCTAAATATACAGGTATCAGGGTCGCGATCGAATCCATGAGCAGGCGAGGTAGTTAACATTTTGCCACCGTGGCACCCACTCTCGCCACTGTGGAGCCCACACGCGTGTCACAGGATCACACTCCATTGGTATTTTCCACATCCATCTACTAGGTTTACAAGCTAAGGGTTTATGCAAATTACTCAGTGGTAGACACTGAATAACTATACGTGGGTGTTTTTTTTTTACGCAAATACAAATGTATTTAAGGTTTACAGAGAGCCTCTGAGCAATGACGTGAGCTCTACCTCCCAAGCAATGACCATGTTGTCCGGTTCAGATCCTTCCCCCGTTACTCCGACGGGTGCTATGTCAGGCACTGAAAGTAAAAAAAAAGTGTAATAACAAAGCAGACGTTGTTAAACTTCGTAAAATTCACATTTGTACTTCGACCTTTCAATTAAACAAGCCCTCCATGGTAACCAACGCAATGCCTACTCCTCATGCCTTGTCACACCACGCTCAACAAATTAACCACACGGCATTCACGCAGCAAACTGCACGTCTGCATCTCACAGGCAGCGCTCATTATGAGAATTCCTTCGGCAACGCAGATCGCAAATGTGTCGCTGTGTTCCTTGCAGTGTGAACATGTCTGCACCAACGCGTCTATAAACATATAAAGTTGCATTTAAAACAGGTTTATCGTAAGCACAAATATGTATACACATCAGCATGAATGTTGCACCATTAGCACTATATTAAGGTTACGGTTTATAGGGTATATCAAGATATTCAGGAGATGGCATATGCAAAAGGTTAAACAGTGGTGAGCTACCCTTAGGGCATGCACATAGCACTCCCCAGTGATTGAACAGGACATTTCAATACAGCCTTGTCAACCTAGGCGGACATACCAATATGTTCCGGGAACCAATGTGGACACACGGCAAACTGTGTGCTTAAATACGTCGTGTCGATAGGCCCCGTTAACCAGGACGGACGCGGCAATATGCGCGATTGAGAGAGAACAACGCCGGATCGGCGGAGGCAGGCACGACACATCCCTCGAGTGCAATCGAAGAGATCCAACACCAATGCGTCCCGCTAATTGATGCAGACACGCGGCGACAATTCCCCGCCCCCCCCCCCCACCCCCTCCCGGCTATTGGAATGACAGGGGCCGATAACGCGCGAGCGATTAGAACGTGACAACGACCGAATCTCGCGAAAAGAGAATGATCCTGTCGGATGTTGGAAAGTACAGCGGGGGGGGGGGGGGGGGGGGGGTTTGAACCTGGGCGGTGCTAGGATGAGCGACCACCGCCGCGTGCCAGGCTGTTAGAGGCAGCTGGCGGGGCCTGTAGGCTGCGTCGTGGTCAGCGGAGGGCAGTGCACGGTAACTCGCAGTCAATCTGCGCTTCTGCGCTCCCGCGTCTGTGATGCCTAACCTCGCAGAATCGCGCTGACCAGCGTGCGTCAAGTGCGGTCGAATAACCCCTTTCATCCATATTTGCAATTTTGACAAATTACTTGCGAATTACTTAATTGGCAAAAACCCACGTAGCAACTTCGCCCCCTACTGGCAGTCTAATGCCCTTTAGGTGTGCTGCATAGACCTTGTATCGTACAGGGACAGCTGCTGCTGGGGATCCCCTTGGCTAGACTGCAAGAGGACAACGGAATGGATGAGGCGTGACAGAGGACGCTTTGAGTTGCCGAGTCATCTCAGCCAGGGCCACGACTAAACTAAAACGAAATTATTTTTATTTTACCAGGTAAGGCCCACTGAGCACTGTTTCACAAGCGACCTGGCCACAAATAATAGCTTAGCGAAGTGGATTATCATGTGAAAATGTATAGCAGACAAATACTCTAAACGCACGTTTCTAAATGTGGAGGGAAAAACCGGAGGACCAGGAGAAAAATCCATGCAACTACGGGGAGAGAGACACGCAAACTCCAAATATACAGGCGTCACGGTTGGAATCGAACCCCACGACCTCCTGTGAACCTAGCAAGGTAGTTAACATCTCGCCACCGCAGCACCCACACCCCTCACGCTTGACCAGAAGGAGCAGCCGGCTCCACGGCTCATCCGACCGAGCCGCCCGGCAGAATCCTTACCGGCCGGCGGCGTGGAGTAGCGCTGGGACGAGAGGCTGGCCCTGCTGGGCCCCACCTCGTTGTAGGCGATCACTTGGAACTGGTAGTTGACGTAGGGGCGCAGCATGAGCTCCGCGGAGGTGTCGGAGCCCTTGATATTCGCCAGGTGCTGCCAGTCACCCGGTTTGTAGCGGTCCTCCTCGTACTCCACGACATACTCTGCAGGGGGCGGCCGCACGAGTGACGTTGAACACGATTCGCGCGTCGGCGCAAGGCAACAGTAAAACCGAGCAAGAGCATAAGGCCCCAAGCAGCTCAAGGCCCTTCTCCCCCATCAGATGTCATTGCAATTTCTCATCTGAATTAAAATAACACGATAATTGAAACGTATTACAACTGATCTCACATCTCTATCTCTTCTGTCATCTCGCGACATCTCTAGCGTTCATTTAAATATCTTCTGTCATCTTACGAGATCTCTATTTCTTGCCTTACATTTACTTTGTCATCTAACTAGGATTGCATAGATTGAAAGGAAAGGGAAGGGGCAAATACAATTTCTGCTTCGGGCCCCAGAAAGGGATAGCACCGTCCGCTGGCGACACGGTACAATTCTGTGGGGTGTTTAATTCAGCCCCACTCAAGCAAACAATTGATGGAAATCTTTTCCATGGGCAACTCAGAACCAGCGCTGATCATTGTTAGGCATGTAATTATTCGACAAATTGTCATGCTTACCCGCGATTGAATTCATAAAGAAGTTGTGTTCATTGTTATATTGTAGTAAAGTTAATACCTAGTAGAGGCAAGAGTTACTTGAACCCATTAGATATATAATTAAGACAAATTGTAAATAATCTGCCCTTACACAGAACTGATTGTAAGATAATTTTACATTACTTTTTTCATCCACACACTTGAAAGATGCATTTTCCCACATGGCCTGCTATAAGAGACAGGTGTGTTGTATGATGCTCTGACATTTCTAATTCTCAGAGATCGAATTCATCCAAATTTAGTGACTAACCCAACCGAATGTCAGGGGTTTTTGTGCGGTGATTGGGGACCAGGCTGGGGTGATAAACCCCCTAGACCAAGTTTGATCACAGAAACCCATAATTAAACCTAATACGCCAATGGTGCTGGCTCAGTGTTCTAACCCTCGAGAGACTCAGCTAACTCCACAATGTGCCTACTCTTAAACTACACGTGTGTGTGTGTATGTCTTTGTGTCATATCAGGTGCTCGCTAACAACACTTGCCACAACAGTCTGTTAAGGGTATACGGGGGATCTTTGTCTTTGTTTGTGTAATCTCAGTCAGTCGATCCATGGCACCTAGGTCTGTCCCGTGACCTCCTGCCAGCCAGCCTTCGACACTTCACGTGGCCTTAAAGTGCACATAGCATGGCATAAGCACCATGGTGACGTCACCGGCAGGTGAATAGCGGTTGTTGTTGTTCTTGGGCTGGTGACACTGGTTCCCCTGGGTGTGCAGTGTGTGTATCGTTGTCTTTGTGTGGTTGTTGAAGAGTTTAACCTGAAATGGGGCTGTTATAGTGGTTCCCTGGAGTCCAGCTCAATCGGATGCCCCTCTCCTCATGGTGGGAGAGCTTCAGGTTGTATGGGGGGTCTGGCTTGTCTGATCACACACAGAGAAAATCACAGCAAAACAGTTACAATACAGCTTGGGTGTGTAGAGCGTCCAAGTGCGACCAGATCTCTTGATGCTGAACAGAAACAGTGGACGGATTACTTTTGTGTAGATAGAGAATGTGGCAGTCGGTCATAGGCAGAGGAGAAGAGGAAATTCCTGAGCCTGGACTTGAATGTGGACAGGGGTTGACAGCGTGGGTGACTGGCGGAAAGTAATTTACAAAGACACGAGAGAAAATTCGAACTGTTTATTTAATGCACTACCCTTCATAGATGTTATGGATTACATATTGATTGTGATATTTTATCATTAATAAAGTTTGCTGGATGAGAATTAAGATTATTTAAAATATTCCATAAATATATGAAGAGTTGTTTTATGATCATTCTAGTCCCTTGCCAATCCACTGCTGGATGAAGGCATTCCCTATACCAGTGGCAGTCATGGAGAATATTTTCTCATACTTCACCATGCTGGTCAATGCGGGTTCGTGAAGAGTGGGTACCCAGAATCGATTCAAATTTCACTGATCACCAATGTTAGCCATTGCTAGGAAACAAACGCAGGTCACAGGGTTCATGGCAGGGTGCACTATACTACTGCATCACCACTCCCCCTAAATTTTACTCCTCGATAAATATTGCACGACAGCAAATGTGCATTTCGTAGAAATTCAATATTCTATTCTATTCTTGCGCTTGACGGCAATATGTTCGGGAGCTAAATGCCAATATCTTGGTCTACTAGCCACGAGAGGGCTTCCGCAGAGAGTCTGTATAGTTTTACTGTTCCTCCTCAGTTGAAGGAAAGCAGACTGCCGTGGTTTATTACAGGGTTCGGGGTAATTAAGTAATATGGTAATTGCTTTGGGATGCATACACTTATTTATTAAAATTGCCTACAACACAGTGAAGGATACAGACTTTGCAGGGCCTGCTCATATTCCCTGTGCAATGGGTGGGAGCTCAGTAAAATAATAATAATAATTTCATTTTAGATGGCGTCATTCGTGCAATTGCAACGCTGCACATCAATTAGACAGTCCCTTACACAGATGGTGCAAAAACAAAAACACCCCACTACTTAGCAGATCAAAAACGAAAAGATGAATATATAAATAACGAGATAATAAATATGCGTAACAAGAAAATAATCTTCTTTGGTTCTTTCGGTAAAGTCACGTAGAATGAGAATAAAATAATAAATTGATACAATAATATTCTCTGAGAATATTATTGTGTTATTTTATTTTATCAATTTATTATTTTATTCTCATTCTACGTGACTTTACCGAAAGAACCAAAGAAGATGAATCATTGCAGTCACGAAAGCTTTAAATCGAAAGAAAATAATCATCACGGAGAAAATCAATAATAATAAATCCGTTCAGTCTCCATACCCCAGACCACAATCCCAACATTTCGTCGGATTTACATATATATTTTTTTGCAATTGGGACCTGCACAATCATTACATGATCGATCATCATTGATTTTTCATAATACAGCAGAACCCCTCTTAACGATGGAAATTGGTTCCACTAAACCGGTCCTTAAGTGATTTGGTCATTAAGCGAGTGTAGGAAATACTTGTTAAAGGGTTAATTTCTTCCAATAGCACCAAAAGTTGCCCTTTTTCACCCAGAAACGTACTTTATAATATTTAAGAAATGGGTATTAATACATAAAGATACTAACAACATTATAAGCACATAATAGTAAAATAAACATGGTTAAGCAAGGCATTAATTCATATTTATCATACCTACAACAGCCTGTCGTGAACAGGGGAATGGTCGGTAAGCGAACACATTGGGCCCTATGGAGGCACTACACTACTATACACTACACTACTATATACTACATACTACACTACTATACACTATACAATACTATATACTACACTACACTATACAATACTATATACTACATACTACACGACTATACACTATACAATACTATATACTACATACTACACGACTATACACTATACAATACTATATACTACATACTACACTACTATACACTATATACAATACTATATATTACATACTACACGACTATACACTATACAATACTATATACTACATACTACACGACTATACACTACACAATACTATATACTACATACTACACTACTATACACTATACAATACTATATACTACATACTACACTACACTATACAATACTATATACTACATACTACACGACTATACACTATACAATACTATATACTACATACTACACTACTATACACTATACAATACTATATACTACATACTACACGACTATACACTATACTACTATATACTACATACTACACTACTATACACTATACTACTATATACTACATACTACACGACTATACACTATGCAATACTATATACTACATACTACACGACTATACAATACTATATACTACAAACTACACTACTATACACTATACAATACTATATACTACATACTAGACGACTATACACTATACAATACTATATACTACATACTACACGACTATACACTATACAATACTATATACTACATACTACACTACACTATACAATACTATATACTACATACTACACTACTATACACTATACAATACTATATACTACATACTACACTACTATACACTATACAATACTATATACTACATACTACACGACTATACACTATACAATACTATATACTACATACTACACGACTATACACTATACAATACTATATACTATATACTACACTACTATACACTATACAATACTATATACTACATTCTACACTACTATACACTATACAATACTATATACTACATACTACACTACTATACACTATACAATACTATATACTACACGACTATACACTATACAACAATATATACTACATACCACACGACTATACACTATACAACAATATATACTACATACTACACTACTATACACTATACAATACTATATACTACATACTACACTACACTATACACTACACACTGGGCTCTATGGGGGCCCGTCGTTAAGCGATTAGTCGTTAACAGAGGAGGTCGTTCAGAAGGCTTCTACTGTACAGCTGGAGGTAATATTCGAGACTGGAGCCACGGTCTATGATGCCAGTGTCAGAGAACATACGTTCTCCCTGCATGCTTGTTCCACCATTAATATTAATTCCCCCAAAGAACCGATACTTAATGATCATTTGAATAATTGGACCCCCTTAAAAAAATGTGTCACAAACTTGTCGTTTTTTGCATGCAAGGTGAAAGTCTTGCATGTCCCAACTAAAACCTTCATTTTAAGACAGCTTTCTAAACCTACTTGTGGAACAGTTGCTTCAATTTGCTTTCAGTCAAGTTTTACTTTCTCACATCTTTTTGGTCTTAACTTCATCCTAACCAATGCAGCACTCAAACCTAATCCGTTAACTCTAACCTCTAACCTCTAACACTCCCCCTAACCACTAACCTAACTCCGAACCATAACCCCAAACCGTAATCCCTAACCCTAACTACTATCGCTTTACTCATAACCCAATTCGTAACGACACATTCATATATTTACACGATCTAACCCAAAAACCTGTATTATGGAGCAATTATTTAACCTAACCCCTAACAATAGCCTCTAAATAAAAACCCTAATGGTAACCCCTTAACTCCAACTTCTAACCTATAACCCATAACCCTAAAATCTAACCCATAACTCTAACTCACAAATCTAACCCCTAACAATAGCCTATAAATATAACTCCTAACCTCTCAGAGTAACCCCTAACTCTGACCTCTAACCCATGACCCTCACACCTAACAGTGAACTTTAACCCCTAACCCATAACTCGAACACCTAACTGCTAACTCTCACCCCTAACCCATAACACTCGCACCTAACAGTGAACTCTATCCCCTCACCCATAACCCTAACCCCCAACCATCGCCTCTAAATATAATTCCTAACCTCTCAGGGTAACCCCTAACTCTGACCTCTAACCCATGACCCTCAGACCTAACAGCGAACTTTAACCCCTAACCCATACTTCGAACACCTAACCGCTAACTCTAACCTCTAACCCATAACCCTAACAGCTAACCTCTAACCCATAACCCTAACACCCAACCTCTAACTCTAACCTTTAACCCATAGCCCTAACACCTAACCTCTAACTCAGAACCCTAACACCCAACCACTAACTCTAACCCCTAACGCATAACCCTAACACCCAACCTCTAACTCTAACCCCTAACCCATAACCCTAACACCCAACCTCAAACTCTAACCCCTAACCCATAACCCTAACACCCAACCTCTAACTCTAACCTCTAACCCATAACCCTAACACCCAACCTCTAACTCTAACCTCTAACCCATAACCCTAACACCCAACCTCAAACTTTAACCCCTAACCCATAAGCCTAATACCCAATCCTCTAACTCTAACCCCTAACCCTAACACCTAACCGCTAACTCTAACTCTAACCTCTAACCCATAACCCTAATACCCAATCCTCTAACTCTAACCCCTAACCCTAACACCTAACCGCTAACTCTAACTCTAACCTCTAACCCATAACCCTAATACCCAATCCTCTAACTATAACCCCTAACCCTAACACCTAACCACTAACTCTAACCCCTAACCCCTAAGGGTTACGAAGCGATGCTCGCCTCCGCCGGCACTCAGTGGGCCCTCTCTCGTAAGGGGAGGCAAAGCGCGATGACCATCCGGCCCACGTACCGATGACGGTGAGCTCGGCCTCTGCCCGCGCGAGGTCCAGGAACGTGTGGGCAACGCAAATGTAGATGCCCTGGTCCACCTCGCTGACATTGTTGATCGTCAGCGTGTTCTTGTCCGTCATGAACCTGCCAGTTGCGACGAAGATGGCGACGCTCGTTAATGTCGACACGCAGGCCCAACAACGGAATTATCTGCATCCAGCCAGGTGGCACTGCGCTTGACATGAACAACGCGCAGTAAGAATGTTGCAAGGTGAATTTTCTGGCCAGGGTTCAACTCACCCCATTATCCCACTGGAATACAATATATGACCCCTCCTTTATAGGAAGTAAAACAAGTTATTTCCCTGTGCATATACTTGTCCCTGCCATAGCAATGTGGAATTGTCTACACTGCCTCAGGGCCGGAAATGGGGGATGAGCACTGTACGGTGCGCATTTGTGGTAATTCAACTACGCTCTGATTTATCAGTTTAATCTGATTCGTACAGTTGTAAGAAAGCATTGAATCATGCGAGTGCGAATCGAATGTTTACAGTTTATGCCAATTGAATGAAAATTATGTGTTAGTGTTACATTTTGGTGAATGCAAGGAACAAAACTGGACAGGTAAGAGAAAAGATAGAAACAATTAAAATTAGCCGGTAGAACCGAGACAAAATCAACAATCAATTCCTCAACTGGGTTGCAACATTTCATTAGCTCACCGTGGGGACAGATTGTTGCATGCTTAGTCAACAGCTGGATTGTCTCACATCTACTCAATAGTCAAGGTAGAGTAAGATTAAGCGTTCGTGACTACGTATTCCATGGGTCAGAGCATAAATTGGTACCACCTAAGGTAACGAAAAAGCGTTTGCACTACCAATTTATTTATATGTCTAACAAGAGATAATCAATTGAGTATCGATTCATTTAAAATGGTTAGAACATAATTCACTGTGAATGGCCACATTCACGAATTGGGAGCCACCAAAGTTACGCCACTTCAGGTTGTACCGACAAGTGAACTATCTTATTCTTAGTTTTTTTCGGTAAAGTCACGTTGAAGAGAAACAACAAAATAATAAAATATATATAAAACAATAAAAAAGTGAACTATCTGTTCACCCGGCTCATGGGGCAACTGCGCACATCGGCACACAGGGGTGGGACTGTTAGAGCCCCCCGCCCTTCCACTGCCAACGTTCAGTCAGCCTACATCGGGCAAGGCCCACTGAGCGAAGAAGCTCTCTTCCAAACGCGACGTGGGTCACAATGGCCGACGGGGCCCAGGAGGCGCGCCCCCTCGTTGCCTCTCACCAGTTGGTGCCGCTGAGCTCCATGCCGTCCTTCTCCCAGTAGATGTTGAGCTCCAGGTCTGGGTCGTGCGTCACCCGGCACTCGAGCTCCACCGTGCCGTCCTTCCGCACGCGAAGCCGCTCAAACGGCTCGATGTGGGTGGCCTCTGGAACGAACATCGACGCGGCTTCAATAAACTGAGAATGTTTTTATATTCTTAGTTTTTTCGGTAAAGTCACGTTGAAGAGAAACAACAAAATAACAAAATATATATATATTTTGTTATTTTGACTTTACCGAAAAAACTAAGAATATGAATTACTGCAGTCACGAAAGCTTTAAATCAAAATTTAAGAATGTTTTATTTTACGTCTTGTTTTTTTTAACCAGGAAAGGCCCACTGAGCTATACAGATTATTTTTTTTTATTTCAGAAGCAACCTGGCTATAAATGATAGCTCAACGAATTGGCTTATCACGGTGGAAATATATAGCAGCCAAATACTCTAAAGGCACGTTGATTCTAAATGTGGTGGGGGGGGAGGAAAGCGGAAGACCTGGAGAAAAATCCATGTGACCACGGGGAGAGAGACATGCAAAGTCGAAATATACACGCGTCAAAAGTCGGTATCGAATGCACGACCTGCTGCATACTAGGCGAGGTAGTTAATATCTCACAACCGTGGTACCCCAATTGTGATGTTTCACCAGCCCGACAGCGTTCTCCTTCCCACAGCCAGGCATGACCTTGACATAATGAGAATTATTTACAGCTGTTTGTAAGATCCACTGCTGGATCAAGGCGTCTCCACACCACGCCAATCGTGGGGTTTTGAATGAGTCGGAAACTCTGCCACTGGCCACTCGTCGTCGGCTCGGGTTCACCCCAAACCGCGTTTATTTTTCTCTTCTGTGGAGACCAAGCAGTTATAACACACCTTGGTGTTCAAACCACTCGCAAGCTTTGGCAAAGTTGCAACGTGTATTATTGACCGAATTAATTATGGGAATTAAGAGGAAACTTTCTGCCGCTAATTACATTTCCACCGAATTAGTTTGGTGACTTTGGCATGAGTGTCGCATCTTCTCATGACGATCCCAATTCCTACACCAAACTTCGTACACCGGACAGATTTCAGTGTCCATTATCTCTCTGTGGAAGCCAAAACTATTTTAAAACCGATGGAGTTGGTATCCGCCTGCATCTATTATAAAAGCCGTTTGTCCGTTTGTCAACTATATTATGAGAGCCTTTCAGAAGGCCTGGATCAAAAAGTTTTAGAAGGTGGACCCCGCCCTCCCTCCCCCCAGACATGGGGGTAAAAAGTTGATCCAACAGGTTTCCAAAAAAATAAATTTCTTTTGTAGGCATATATGCCTACACACCCTACATACAATAGAGTCAGTCACATCTGCCCACATTTTTTTTTGGGGGGGGGGGGCAGAAGAGGACATCAGTGGGGGCGATGGGCGAGTCGCGTAGCGCCGAGAAGCCCTCCACAGGAGCTAGAATTTATAGTGTGATAAAATCCCTCTGTTAGAACAGGAAATAGCAAAACTGCGTGGAACATTGACCTCTATTATGGATAATATTTGTCGCGAAAGCCTACGTGCTAAACTCACTTTGTATCATACTATTGGTTCTTTCGGTAAAGTCACGTAAATAGAAAAAAATAAAAATAAAATAAAAAAATTAAATTAAAATACAAATAAAATACAAATAAGAAATTGAAATTAATAAAAGCAACACAAGCGGTCTTCATCAGGTGTATCGTTGTATGCGTTCTTTTCACATGAACAATTTTCCGTGAAAACCCTGTGATATACATATATACGTGTGTACAGTGTGTGTATATATATAGTAAAGATAATTACCACGTGCAGCTGCGAGTGCTGCGTCGTTGCTATAGAATGCGGTCAGCAGCTGTGTAGGTGGAATCGATATTCAAATGAGGATGCACCCATACTCTGTCCCCGATTGGCAGGTAACCAGGTGCTCTCCTCCGTCTACGAACTCCGAGGGTGCAGTGACTCACTGTGGTCACGTTTTGTTACATGCTGTCTCGCCCTCCCGTTGGTGTCCCCAATGTGTCCGTGGCTCTTGAAAAAAGAAAACTACAAAAAAATGCTTTGTATAGATACAAAAACAAAAATACGCACCTCTGACTCGGAGTTTCGCGTTGATGGTGCCGGTATCCAGGTCGTTGGTGGCCTCGCACATGTAGAGGCCCTGGTCTGCCTTCTTCGCCTCATGTATGTACAGGGAGCCGTTCTCAAACTCCTTGAATTTCTTGTCCTGCAGGGTGTTAACCTGACCATCTTTGGACCTGAAATGATGACCATAGGGTGTGCATGCATTGTATATTGCAATTTTGCTCATCAGCATAATGCAATTATATCTTACAGTAAACCACTATAGTCTGAACCCCTTAAACGGAGGAGGAATAACAAGACTGCATGAACTCTCTCCTGAAGCCCTCTCGTGGTGAGCAGACATTGCCATTGGCATGTAGCTCCTCAAAATATTTCCATTATACGGAAGAATAGAATAGCATCAGGTGTGAGACGAAGCCTAGATTCAAACTCTTGCAAAATAGTCCATCGTCCTTTGTTAAAACAATTGCCCTTGGAAGGTAATATTACAGAACTGCTTCTGGGATCCCTTCAGGTGACCTTTCATGTTCACACACTTGGGGGCGGGTGAGGGGTGCACCTTTTCCACAAGCCCTACTCTACAAATCACCCGAATTTCATTCGAATTATGCTCGTCCGCATCAAGTCATGAGATGAAAACAATGCCCTTTCGGAGTTCTCGCAAGGCAGACTAGCCACCCGCTGACGGAGCATGCCCTCTGGAAGGAAACGCTACGAAACTTTGTTTCTTATATTCTTTCCGCGTGCCGTGATGTAGAAATCTTCATCGCACGGGAGTCAAACTGATTTTATAAAAAAAAAAGTTTTATGCTGCTCACTACATTTTAATATCCTGAATGTTACGTAAAAATAACAAACCGATGTAATATAATCATGGTGAGTGACCCACTCTTACAAATGAGACTACCCTGGCATCGCAAGTTCTCGCACGGTTGAACAAAATAAACTTTTATTCCTGGTTTGTGTCTCCAACTTTGGGAAAACCCTCTTGTCAATTTGGCCGATTTTATATAGGGACGAGTCCCTAATAGCAACGCAACATTACACTACAGCCTCCTTCAGATTGGATAAGATTTGTGAGAGTCACAGTTACCGCAGGTTACAGACAGCCACATAGGGAGGATACATGCATTGAGGCTTTCAGTCAAAGTAGGGAAAACACTAACAAAGTATGTTGGCTGATGATGAGAAACGATCAACGCTCTTACCATCGGATGGCGGGTTTTGGAGAACCGAAGACTTTGCAATCGAGAAGCACAGGCTGTTTCTCTACGACAACGTACTCCTCCTTGTCCTTCGTAATAAACTTGGGAGGCACAGCTGAGGACAGGACAAAGGTGCTGCGTTACACCATTGTAGCTCACGCTCTCATGATATGCAGGGTGCGCCAAAGGTCTGGGACCATGAGCGATTTCACGCTCGCGATGTACACAGTGTCCTCCGATGGGACGTCCACCAATAGGAACGGAGCGACGGAGCGATCAAATCGGCTCGTGCAGACGTGCTGCGTGGATTATCGCATCACGGGATCGTGAAAATTCGCCATGATTTTGGGAGGACTCCTCAATAAACCAGTGGATAGACCATGGCTTACGATTAAGGATAAATAAAAAAATACGAGTGGAGTGTACCAAGATCGATTTTGGACACGTTGAGGCACGTTCAAGCGTCCTGCTGTGCAAGAGATTGAGATGCGTGTCCAAGCGAATGGTGTTGCCATGCGAGCGTCTGATATAATTTACTTTACAGATGCATGGTTTCGGACTTTTGCTACCCCCTGTTGTAGAAGTCAAGGTGTCTGCACACACAGGACATGGGTCAGTGCTCAACTCCATTACAGCCTTGAGCCGAAGGAGGAAATTCCACAAAGCAGCAGTGAGTCTCCCTTATGAGATGACCACTGTTGTCTTCCCACAATGTGGTACTTATTTTATAGATTCTGGAAGGCATGATAATGGGTTGAATCGATCTGCCCAAACTGGAAATTTTACCCATTGATCGATGCAGATAGATGGATGTATATTGAAACATTTTCGCACAGTACAATACATCAATTGATATTTACACTCGTAATAATTGCATCCCATCGTGTGTGCAAACATCAATTATTTTTAATTCGCATACGCGATGGGTGGTACGTAATGGGTTCAACATAATCTATCTGCTAAAAACTAAACACAAAAAAGCATTTCGAGATTTAAAACTGCATAACTCCAGTGGCTTCCGAATATCGGAAGGAAGAGGATTCCAGATGGTCGCAGAAGCTCATCTGTAAGTGCGCGATGCGATGACTGTCGTTGTTCGATGGTTAGCCAAAAGCTGCTGCGAGGATGACCGGAGTTTGCGTGATGGTTCACGCTGCTTGGCGAGATCGGCGAGGTATTACGATTCTTTTGTGGCAAGCATCGCTTTGTGTGCAATGGTGTTTCACGAAAATGTTAAGACAAATAGAATTTGATTCTTGAATTGAATCATGACCCCGAATCGTGGCAATTCACCGAGCCTCGAGGGCAGTGAATGCGTCAACTCACGACTACGAGCCAATCCAATGTTGGGCGTTAATAACACAGCAACACCTCTGCTAAATGACATGTTAAGACACGTGGTGCAATCAATATTGCATTCAACTCTCAATGATCATTATTATCATAAATAATTATTATAATAATTTACACTTATCACGCGCTGTTTCACACAGAGACCGCAAGGCTAATCATGTAGCGGCTACGGATGCTTTCGAAGCGGTTTTAGTTTGTTGTGCCGAGCTATTAAATTGTAAAATATGTCTCATTAATTGAGGATACGACCCAATTAATGTTGTTCAATGGACGTTTCATGTTGATGTTCGTGTAATAATTTTTTTTTGTATTGCTTTACTTTTGCGAATACTTCAAGGCGGCACGTCTGCAATTCACCAACTCTCAGGAAAAAGCAAAAGAATGGCTAAATCACTGACGAGTGAAAGAAGGCTTGCGAGCGCTGCCAAATAATCAGAATCTTTATTCAGGCTGGAGGAATCCGATGAGCTATGAAGCCCTTTTCCACAAGTGTCCAACTAAGCGAGCTACACGAGCGTCGGTGGGAAGAGGAGTGAGCGACGTCCGTGCAGGTCGGGGGGAAGGGGAGGGAGAAGGGGGGAGCTGGGGGGGTTTGGGTGGTGGTGGGGTGAGAGGGATGGGGGAGGCCTCTCACCCAGCACGCTGACGAGCGCGTTGGCAATGATGGTGCCGAAGACGTTGGAGGCGACGCACTGGTAGACGGCGCTCTGTCCGATGACGAGCTTCTTGAGCACGATGCGGTCGCCCTTCACGGTGCGGTGCGGCTCGGCCGGTGCCTCTGCGGGAGCACAGGCAGAACGATTGCCGGTGGCACAAAACTCTCGGCGCCACCGCCGCCGAGTCGTGTTGCCGGCGAACGCCGTCGTCGTGACCGGGGCGAAGTTCCCGGTGCCGGCCTCCACTGCACGGGATAGCATTCTGAGCAGAGCTTGTCGGGGAGATTGATGGTCCAGCTCTCGCTGACTCGCCCATCGGTGCTCAGCCGCCTCCCTATCGCTCTTCTATCCCTACTACCGTGGTTCCTGTTCCGGTGAACTAATTGATACCTCCACCCGCGATGAGGGCTTGGTCATCCAGGCTCACTGTCTCACCTGATACGTATGTTCGACCGCCACAATGTCGATCACAACCCTTTTATTTCTGACTCGTCCCTTCCCACTGCTCAACTGTGGAATTCCCTCCCATCATCGCCATCTCCTCTCCCAAGCAATTATAGCCTCGCTCAATTCATGAAACATATTGATTCTGACCGATGACAACGCACACAGACACACCATGGCACCGAGAAAGGTGTCAAATCCCCACGCTCTGCCTATAACGGCCGGGCTCACCGTTCAGGGGTTTGCCGTTGAGGAGCCAGTGTGTTTCCGGCGGAGGCTTTCCGCCGGCGACGCAGTGCAGCACCGCGTCATCGCCCGGCGCCACGATGCGGTCCTCCGGCCTGGCCGTCCAGTATGGGGCCGCTGCGCGTGAACGAGACGAAGGCAAAGATCCCACACTCGTGTAGCCTTAACGGACTGTTGGGGCAAGTGCTGTTAGCGAGGAGCAACTATGTGATGGCACGCGAATGGGGGGGGTTGTGCGGCCAGCATCACGCCCGGCCGACTTTGTCTCCCGAGCGGCGATGTTTAAACATCGTGCCAGCTACTCGTTTGAGGCTGAGTCGACCAAGGGGAGGCCCAGGACCGATTCAGATATTCGTCACTGGTGTTGGCCACGTGCGGGAGTCAAACTCGGGGTTGTCGGGTTCGTAGCATGGTAAGCTACTACCACTCCCCACAAGTATGCCCACATAGACACAACCACAGATATATATATTTACATATACTCCCATATACACATATACATACTTACATAAACAAACAGGAATACCTTTAGAGATATACACACAGAGTTTGATTCCTGGCCACGACTCGCATCATTGGTGAGTATTATCTCAAATAGTCCTTGTCCGCCCTTCACCAAGCACACTCACCAATGTGGTGAAGTATGGTCAAACAGCACCCATGACTGCCATGGCATGGGAGACCTTTGACCCAGCAGTAAATAGACAAAGCGCTATAATTTATTGTCATATCGTAGAAGTAAAAAACACATATTCATGCCAGATGCTGCCAAAACCTAGAATATCATACATAACGGTAACCTTTGCCTGTACACTATAAAAATCCTGCAGTGCATTCAATGCATTCAATTAGCTTTTATTCAGCAAATGGTTCTATTCACTTGCATGCGTGTCTGTCTGTCATCCGACCTCCAGTATCGATTTAACCTAAGCAACTAAAGTGGCGTTATGTGAGGTTAAAGCGCACTCTAAGGAAATTACATCATGCCTCATTTTTTTTTTTAAGCTAGCCTCCTATTGTTATTGTTAATCATGGAATGTTTTAGCCTCTAACCCGCACACGCTGCTCTCTGCAATCTCAGAAGAGCATCAGCTAATGGCCTCCGGGAGATGTCACGTCTCCGGTGGCTTGGGAATGTCACGCACTCTACTGCCCTGGCGGTGTCCTCGACCGCACCGCGTCTGTCCTTACCCGCCCTGCGGTGAGACAAAATAACCGCCCGGTGAACCTCAAGCCCTCCCCGCCGCCGCCATCCGCAGCGAGTCGGGGCCTCCGAGGTGTCGGTCGTAATTACCCTCGCGACGGCACGGGCATCGCCTCCCGTGCCGCAGCAAATGCGGGCGCGCGCCAGCTCAGCGCGTGCGTTGGACCCGAGCTTCGTTTGCGCTGCACGTCGCCAACCGCGCTCACCGGAGGTGCGACTTTTGTGCGGCACGCACGGGCGTGCGAGGGCGGGAGCACGCGACGGCCACCGAATCATTTTTAATTGTCACGTGAAAAATGGCAATGTAGAAAGAAAAACTGGGCAATGTCGATGGTGAGTCCCCGTGTACCGCGACGGAGTGCCTCGTTGATTTACATCGCGCAACAACAAAGGCCCTTCAAAGTTTGCCGCGATTTGAATGAGCGTTAAGCGTCGCGGGCCTTTAGGGGACCCGTAACGGAGATGAAATGGAATGCAAAATGAAATTAAGAAAACAGGAGCACCAGAGGACATAGACTAGGGAACATGTAATTAAAACGCATGATTGATATCCATTCCATCTCTACAACGACGGCTAGCAACCCGAATTGAACCCACGCCCCGTTATCTATGCAGATAATTAACAAATGAGCCCAACGCTCCTGTAAATGACGTGGGAATCGACAGTTCATATTTCATATCGGCATCGCTTAATCCACATTCTGGAGGTGGTCCACGTGTACAACCCTGAACTGGGTGGGGGGAGTGGGGGGGGGGGGAGCAAGAGGGTTTGTAAGGACACGCGCCGCCTGCATTCTCCGCCCCCAGATTCTGCGGACTTTGTCATCCATTCATCCACGACACAGACAAGCCAGCGCTGCCTTATCTCACTCTATCCCCACATCACCCGGCCACGCAACGCATTCCTGCCGGGCGTGCTCAATGAGGACGTGGAGGTTCACTTTAGACGCGGATTGTTGCCGCAGCCGGCGGCATCCTGCGGCCGCCCGACACACGTCACGGGCGAGCGTTCATTTTAGATTCCCGACTCTCGCTCCGCTTGCGTTCTCTCTCCAAGGAGAGGTCCCTGGCTGAAACTCCCTCCATCCCATCTCATCCCCCCCCACCCTACCCCCTCTTTCACCTCGGAACAGTGGGATCTTGCGCTTGAGCTGGGGAAGAGTAGTTGAGGTGGCTTCCCCTTGCCTTTCTCAACAGTAAAATTGAGGTGACATCATCCACGGATGCAGTTTTATGTCACTGCCAGGACAAACTCCTGCCCCCAGTCGCGAGAAAAACATTTGACTAAGTCTGAGTTTTCAAGGAGGAAATTTGGCTCAGGGATGCTGAGATGTTGGGTTCGATTCTGGGGCAGCCACCCACGATTGAATCGGGTGCTCAAGTATAGCCAGTTGATGGTCTGAGCGAAATCTGCAATGACTGTATAAAAAGCGATCAAATTACCTTTGTTTTCTCACCTAAATCAGCTACATTGAATCTATGTGAAACTCGAAACGTATTTGTTTGACTGCCATGCGATGCACTTTTCTCTGCAGCAGGGCGTTGTGAGTAAGGAGAGAGTGTGCCCCTCTGGTGTGTGAATTAAAAAAAAAAGTTCGCTCAAAGGGATTTCAGCTGCAGTTCTGCGATATCCTCTTCCACTGGGGCACTCTCGAAAACAGTTAAACGCAATGCTGCGCAACGACTCCAAAGGGACACTTTGTGCCGTGACGTGATGCCAGCGGTGCAGTCGAAATTACAAAGCATTTACAGGTGGGAATACAATCGTTGGCTGGCTCGCTGGGGGCATTGTCCCCATGGCGCTTACCGTCCACTGTGACGACGAAGGAGTGGTGCGCTGAGCCCATGTTGTTGCTGGCGATGCACTTGTACTGCCCGCTGTCTTCCACCTCCACCGGGTGGAGGCGCAGCGTCTTGTTGTGGTTTCCCGTCGAGAAGCGGCCACGAGGCATGTGACCGCTCACCCTCTCCCAGCGCACGTCCGGCGTCGGCCTGTCGTCACACGCACGAGCGTAAAGTGCGCAGGCCAACACGCACACACGCGCACATACACGACGCCTGAAATTTGTCACTGCGGCCCAAAGCGATAAAGGCGGAGCCCTGAAACGTCTTGGCTCGTGCCACCGCTGGCGGAATGGCCTCTGGCGGAGGTAGCACGGGAAGCCGCCCCTCCTCCTGCCGGAGCCGCGGTTCCAAAACCTCTCTGGATCCACAGACCGCAGTCAGCCCGCAAATCAATTTTGCGGACCGTCATGCGCCAATGACATGTGTTTTTATCGTAACTACTCTGTAAGTACTGAGCCAACTTAAATCCATTTATAGGATTAGTCAATAAAAAGCAGGTTAATCTAATGGGTTCTGCAATGGGCAGTAAAAAAAGCAAGAAATCTGCAACACTTGGGCAGAACACTTCCCGTGGCCCTGCAGGCCGCCAGTAGCCCACAGACCACGGGAAGGGAGCCACAGCCCAAGAAGGAACCTGGCCTCCTCTTCCACACTCGCACTTGAATCCACCACACGTGACCTTTCAATCGACTAACTGCGGGGGGGGGGGGGGGGGGAGCATCCATTTATACTGCCGGGTGAACAGAGGCAGGGGAATCTAAGAGAAAATTCGACCAGTGTAAGCTGCTGCGCCGAATTGGACCGGGGAGCAGTGCGCGAGCAATTAAGCCACAGCAGCATGCCTTTGTTATTGAGGTCATTTGTTTATTCGGCGTCCTCACGGCGAACCCTGCACCTTTGCTCCCTAAATATATGCATGTATTCTCTCTCTCTCTCTCCCGCACGGATATCAGAACAAATTAATTCAGGAGAGTGGGAAATAAACAGTTACAACGAGGGTAGCAAAATGTGCAATTGGCCAATATTCTTAAAATGCTGAGGCGTGCGCATTCCAAAGGCAATACAACAGAGACCTGTGCAATAACACATTATTAGCATATATGACATATGGCTCCATTTTATTATGGCGCGCTTGTCCCCATGGGCCACAAAGCACCTTGTAAAAGCCGAATTAAGTGGAAAACAAACTTTAATAAGATAATTTATTTGTGGAGCTATTGGCAACTGGGCTGAGACCATCAATGAACTACATTTGAGGCATTGGCACGTGTGGCTGAACCTCAGCGATGATATGATGGCTCAGTGACGCCTGAGCTCCCTGGCTACCTCACTATGGATCATTAAAACAACTCCTCCGTAGAGGTGGGCGGGTGGATCAGAGGTCAGAGCGCTGAGCTGGCTTTGCTGAGATGCTATGGCTGAATCCAAGCAAAGGTGCCTGTGATTAAATCGGGTCCTCTAGCGTCGCGAGTTGATGGTCTCAACCTGGTCACCAATGATAGGATGAAAACAACGGCCACATTAAATTGCTTCCTGCGCTTAATGATGACAAATTGCAGCTCTGATAATGAAAACATTGTATTGACTGTCATGTGATAACAAAAAATACTCTCAGTGGGTAGGAAAGTGTCCCCCCACCACCACCCCACTGTGTGGACCGGAGGTCACTTGAAGAGACATCAAAGGTAGTTCTGTCGTATCTGCTTCTGCAGGCCGGGTGGGTTGCATTGCTTTACGAGAGATTCAAATGCATAGTGAGCCTTGTGACACGACGCAGACGGCACAACCTGGATACAATTAGAAGAAGAAAATACCAAAGTGTGTTTTTGTTTGACTGTGACTCCACGTGTTTGCGTGTTCGGTGCGGCGCTGTTGGTCATCGGCGTAGAGAAGGAGGCACTCACAGGCCCTCGGCGATGCACTCCATCACGAGCGTACTTCCTTTCAGGCTGTGCATCCTTGTGGTTTTGCCATGGGGCGTGAGCAGGCTCGGCAGGCGGTTCCGGAGACCCCCGGCTGCCAGCGTGAAAACACCACCGTCACAAACGGAACACGTCCATTAGCCACAATGCACTGGGCACGCGTAATAGGACGCTGTGGGTTTAATCAGCGGCAAAAGCTTTTAAGAGTACGACAGGCGTCTCGGTCGAGGGATAAATTTACGACGCATTAGCTGCTCAACTTTGACCACAGAGATTAGTAATGCACGTCGCAGTTCAAATCTCGATGGAACATAAAAAACTACGTAACTTCTTTTTTTTACCCAAAAACCCAATTTTATCAATTTTACTCACTTAGTTCACATAACAAACTTACGAGCATGAGCGACATCAAACTGCGTTAATGTGGAATAATTGAATTGCCCTTCATACCGCGCACATCGTTAAGCCGCAGAGGAACATGCGTGTGTGGTGTACGCACACGCGTGCACGTGCGTGTGCGTGCGTGCCATTCTCTCGGATCTCAAACGGAGAAAAACCTTTTTAAAAAAGAACAAAATTAAGCCTCCAGCAGCATCGGCAAAAATTGCACCTCCCCCGGCGGGAGCAAGAGCACATGCACGTTTTCCGCCACATCCCGAAAGCATGAGTCAGTCACGTGAGCAGAAATAAATGGCCCCAGCAGAAAACAGCCAAAGGAAAACAAAACTTTGAACCGCTCAGCATTAACTCAGGAATCAGCGCAAGCAACATTTTTTTTTAATCGCGTAAAAAAAAAAGAGAAAATCCCTTACGAAAGATTTGCCAAAAACGTATAGTTATCAAAACATTCAAAAAAATTATGACAAATATTGATTGTGTTAAATAGAAGGCTCCTTTAGAAATTATTTTTTATACAAAAGTTCGTGAAGAAGTTTTTATTTTATAATCCAATTGAGCACACGTTAGTTTCATACATTCATGACTGCTTGATGTTTTCAATCTTGTGTACTTGGGCAAATCGCATGATGCTCAGTCAAAATTGAAAAAAAATGGTTTCCTGCTTTTACTAAGCATGGGAACAATGCTCACCTCTTGTTTACTTGCAGCCCTGAATCAGTGGTGAAATTCCACATTCTTATGGTAGGGGGAAGAGTTTCTTAAAAAGGACAAATCACTCTAGACTTCTCTACAAAAGAGGTACTCATTTTTTCAACCCGAGTGTGAGTCAACACCTGACCGGGATATGAACTCGGCGAACTTCCGATTGCGATCCTCTGCGTCATCTCTTAGCCGGATGAACTTACACATCCATAGTGATTAATTGCTTTCCGTGCATTAACACAACACACTCGGCTGTGATTTACGCACGTCTGCAATTTGCACACTCCGAACGGGCGAGTGAGATCAATGAAGCAGTAAGAAGAACCAGCCGCAGAGCAAAATAGAAGAAAAAAATCCCATCAGCAGCATCACTCGGCTGGGTTATACGTGCCCTAAGTGTTTAACATGAACAGGTGATGCCATGGTATAGCCCAGAGGGAAATGACCAAAAAGCAAGCATGTGCTGTGTTACGCTTATTTCTTTCTCCGTTGCATTCTCTTTATCACGTGTGTTAGACCTCGCACTCACTTGCAATTCGAAGTGATCGACCACCAGTTCGTGTTCCGCCAATTAGACATTTCACCGTCGTGGTTGTTCTTGTGCGAAGCGGGTTCACGACAACGTTCCAATTTTTAATTCGCGCACGCGGCCACATTGCAGACCTCGGCAAGTGTACGCACCCACGCGCGCATCCACGCTGTTTTTGTTTTGCGGGGCCCGGAAACTGTTAATCAAGAGACGGCACGCATCCAGATGAGCCGGCCCAATCGTAACCTTTCTTACGGCGGTCAAGGGTGGATTAGTGCGCGTTCATTCATCGCGCCGCGGTGAGAGCGCACTTCAGCTCGCCCGTGAGTTCGAGGCCTAAGGTCACAAGGAGTCTCGAAGGAAGGCAGCGCTAAGAGGGTCAGCTGTTAGTCTCCAAGCGTTCGCCGGCTCGAGCCACTCACCAACAGCTAATTGGGTTTCGTTCACACTCGATGACTGTGCGTCATCAAGTGTTTCCACTGCAACAAATGAAATAGCTGCGTAAAGTTTCAAAAACGATAAAAGAAAAAGGAAACACAAAAAAGCACAGATGTGAAGGAGAAAATGTAAAAAATAATTCAGAAAGTAAGATTTGTAAAGGTACTGTTTTACTTTAGTTGCAGAGGTTGAGGAAGTCAGAATGCTGAATATCACAATGCAGGAATTGTTTATAGGACAACTCCATCTTATGGAGACCTGACCGGCTTATGCAATTCGTTACTCTTGTTGTACACTGCTAGAGTGCAGTAAGAAGCAAATAGCGTAAAATCAAACACTGTTTTCATGTACAGCGTCACTATAAAATGACCTTTCTACAAACCTGGCCAACCTTTGGCTGCTGAACAGAACTTCAAAGTTTAAATCTTTAAAAAATGTCCATCATTCATATGAGACATTCCAATTATTGTTCGGCCAAGACTATGCAACATTGCTCAATAGTAATTTCCTTCGCTCACACAATGCCCATCCGAGGTTTCAATAATCAGTAAGACAGTGAAGACGCTGTCCTGAACTTGCAGCAGAAAAGTTATCAGAAAGACAAATACAAATTATCCGTGGGAGTTAGGAGTAGCGGTGACATGGTGGTTAAGGCAAAAGTGCTATCAACTCTAGCGAGCCGAGTTCAATTCCTGGCTGCGGCTAACAGCACCGCTCCTCCTGCCACCCTTCGCCTACCAGCGCTGACCAACCTGTTGGTCAGTCATTGTCGACACGGCATGGGGGCGACACCTTCATCCATCAGTGGGTGGACAAAAGATGATTCTTACTTTCTTTTCCTTCAACAGCTGCATGTTTTAACGTTTCATTTTGTCTTAAGCTGTAGCCCGACATAATGCATCGGCAGCACGTGTGCTCTTTAAATACCTTAATTTCGTGCAATATTCGACCAGTGCCAGGAATTGCTTGGGGAGAGTGAAGTTCTTGGTGTGCTACTCCATAGGGCAATGCCTGACCGAATTTGCACTTGAATTTCTAATGAACACTCATGTTCATCTGAACAAACACACAAGATCGCCCGTGCAGCCTGAACAGGCTGTTGAGGCAAGTGCTGTTAAGGAGCATGCTCCTATGAAGGCTGGCACAGCACACACACGGGTGGGTGGCCAACAACTACGGTTGTCTCCCTGATGTTTATACACCACACCAGGTACCAATTTAAGGTTAAGCCGAGCTAGGGGAGGCCCAGGACTGGTTCAAATATTCACCACTGATATTGGCCGTGAGCAGGAATCGAACTCGGGTCGCAGGATTCATAGCGCAGTGCACTAACCACGACACTACCGCTCCCAGCATACACACATACACATACAGGATGCATCTAGTACCGTCACGCACGTGTGCAAAAGAACGGCAACGTGGGGAAGGAAATTGAAACGACGAGCCCTTCAGTTGCCGTCGATTCAAAGATTCTGCCACGCATTCCAAAAGAGACTCGTGACCACAAATCGAGGCTCTGCGTTCTCATTCCGCCGGAAGTATTTCTTCGCTTTGCTTCGTCAAATAGCACAATACAGTTTGATGAATAAAGGACAGCTCGGGCACACGTATAATGCTGCCAGTCATGGACTCAAAGAGTAAGTGACAGTTTGTGTTCTGGAGGTCTCTTCTCCATAGCAGCAGAATATTTTTTTCCCCTATGCAGCTCTGCCAGAAAACGCCGTCTTTGTTGTTTGATGGCCTTAGACGTATGCCTCCGCAGGAGGGTGGGAATAGTATTCTCTCCACTGCCTGCAACTACTGGCAATGCGAGCATACAATTATTATCAAATCATGACCTTTAACTGAAACGTCAGGACCTATAATAACAGGTTTTGGTGAACAGCGATGGATGTGACTGGCAAAGCAGCCGAGGCAAACAGCCTGCTTCACACACAAGTGCAAATCAAGGAGGTGGTTTTCAAACACTTGCACGTACGTGCACGGATACACACGCAAAAAGACAAAGGCATGTGCGTGCAGACATACACAGACACACAATCACACACAAAAGATCTCCCGTGCAAGTCCATAACAGACCGTGTTAGTGAGTATTTATGAAGTCCAACAGGGTGCATGAGTCGGTGGTGTGGGAAACACCATTCCTGACCATTGTTGTCTCACCAGTCGTGAGGTTTACACACTGCACCAGGTACAAGTCCGAGATGACTTAAGGGAGGCCTAGGACCGGTTCAGATATCACTCGCCGATGATATTAGCCGTGGTCGCTAATCGAACTCAGGTTGCTGAGTTTGTGTTTGCCCTGTAACTGATCGCTGCACCACCGCTCACCACAAAATTAAAATATCCCCCATAGAGCCTACACAGGCTGTCAGGGCAATAAATGTGCACAAACTCCTACAAATTGCGGTGCGGAATACGAGCGTTGGTGATGGCTAGTAACACACCCAGCCGATTTTGTCTGAATTTTGGTGATGTCTACACACTGCCCCAAGCACTCACTTAAGGCTGAATTGGCCGACACACAAACGCGCGCAAACATATCCACAAACGCACACACACACAGAGTGGCTGCCTCATGAACCACCGCGTTGAAGGACTTCCATGGGTCATTGGCCACACCACGCGCACGGGCACACACCACCAGTGCCCTCTGCTCTTTGAAGCACAGTTTCTCAGCCACGATGTGGAGGCAATTGCGAACATACCATGGGCTCAAACTGCCAGTCAATGGATTCATATTTAAAAGAAAATAAACCGCACAATATTCTTCAGACGACTGCTGAGATAAAGCCAATAATGGTCAGTGCAGGAAGACTTTGCCTGCGACGTTTGAGCATAGAGTTTCATTTCGACTCGGGCGTTATACTAACAGCCGGAGTTCTCTTGAATTGCGGTAATGTTTTTTTTAACCTGTTCATGCCTTATCCAAACACACGCACACACACACACGCAGCACAGTGCATGTTGTACAACACAGCATTGATCAACAACAGCCGAAGGGTATTTATTTTGTGCACCATGTTGAGAGGCCTAATCACGGCTTGGTTCAGAATTGCAAAGATCCGCAGTGAATTCATTTCTCTCTGGAGGCCAATTTCCTAAACCAGTGATAGAAAGACGGCACCCTAATGCGATATATATTTTTAACATATAAATATAACGGAACTTTTAAATCCGTATACATTTCAGAATCCTCTTTAGTTTGAAAAGAAGATCCAACGTCCACTAACCTCAAGTGTAACTTTAGTTGGTTACCATCTTAACACTATTAAAATACCGTAATAACATATGGCAATGTTATTCTTGCGTAAAAATATTTTTAAAATGTCCTTAAATATGACAGTCATCAACCTATTGGCCTCCTGTATAAATATTTTACAGCTGACAGCTGCTGATGGGTCTCATCAGCAGATTAAGGCCCATTACTCAAACATTACTGCAAGTTGTCCGGAATGTATATATGTATGTTGAATTTCTTTCACACTGTACGTAGCCAACCCTGCTAATCGGAGGTGTGGAAGTCCAATAAGCCCGCTCGCTGAACCGATTTTTTCTTTTATAATTTTGATGTGGAGATGTGGAATTAATTTCGCCTGTTTATTTGTTTACCCTATCCATAATCCACACGGGATGGCACGTAATAATATTTCACGGAACCTGGCGGTCACCGAGTGTGCACGGCAGCCCGAGTGAATCTTACGTGAGCGGACTTTCAGCTTGATGGGCTCCTTCGAGATGATGGTACGGGAGGCCACAAACTGCGCGTAGCAGATGTAGTCGTCTCGGCTGTCCACCGGCTTGACGTTGGAGAAGTAAAGGTCGCCGCTGAGGCCCTGCGACACTCGCTTGTCCTGCCCAATGTGGTCCAGCGCTGCGAAGGCAAAAAAAACAAATGCCCTAACTCGCATACGGAAGGGCAAGGAAATGTACGTCAAGGGCCAAAGTTATTTTCCCGCTCGAGTGAGCGCGGAGGTAATGCTAACCTCCGGTTTACAGCCTCGAGGCAGAGGTGGAAATTCCACATTCATGTGTCAGGGGGCAGGGCAGCTTTATCCATAGGACAACCATTGCCGACTTTCCTTCTTGATAGCAAGGGTATACCCCCGTTGAGTTTTTGTGACACAGAATCTAAACATATTATATATATAGATATTTGTGTAACCGCTGGCATTGTGTTCTGTCGTCATTTCGTACTGCTCGTCATCCACAAGATTTTGGGGGGAGGAACGCCCTGGGGAGGCTTGCAGGGCAGAACCACCGAGTTGCCCTCGTCCACCTCCATGGGATCCAGCACTTCCTTGGGCCACTTGGGGGTACCTGGGCCACGCACACAACATGGGCACGTGGTCACCGCTGGCTCTCGAACGTTGGCACGCGCTATGCACACGCTGCGCTCACGCTATGCACTGCTACGCTCACGCTATGCACATGCGCTAGAACGCACAGCGCTGACGGTCCTCGCGGGCTCTAAACGAGGCCTTTGACAATGGTCGCGACCACCAATTGTTACAGCACAAAGGATATCACGAAGACGCCACGTTGCACGCCCGAGGACAGGATAATCTGTCGCAGATTAACAGTAGGGGGTCGATGTTGCTATGGTGGTGGGGGTTTTTTCCCCGATTGAGTACATTTTGAGGTGATTTTTTAAAAAAATTTGGACCATAACGCCAGCGCACGTGGCCTATTCTTCTTAAAATATTATCACGGAATTTTGTCCGCCATGACGCAGGCGGCAAATGCTCGAATTACATACCCACAGTGTTAACCAGGGCAACCGCCGGGTTCCAACAGCAAACCTCTACAACCAAGCAGCAAAGGCACAACCGCTCGGCCGTGTCACCGCCCAACAATAGGGCCTACTTTACAATGTTTTACCCTCTTTCTCGCCCAGCGACCTGGGCACCCCTGGACCATGGAACCCGGTGCAGTTGCACCGACTGCGCACTTGATAGCTCCGCCACTGGGAGTAACAATACATCATGGCACTGTGAGATTTACCCGAGGGAGACAACACGAAGGATAGGCAGGTGCCTGCGAAGGCACTGGGGATGTTTAGGTACACAAGTAGGAAGGTAAACAGGTACTACACGGGTACGTAGGTTGGGTAAGTTTGTAGACACACGGGCAAGGTGGGTGTATTTAAACATCTGTGTTTGACAAGATGTTTGCAGGAGAGTGTTTTTTTGTGTGCAGCTTTGGCAATCGCTGATTACTAAAAAAGAGAAGTAATAACAAACAGATGTATATTCTCGCCGAGAGGAAGGACAGCACTGGTATTTGGCTGGTTGCCTTGTTCATTACATAGGGTCCAATTTGCGGCTTGACGAAATAGCTGAATCACATTGGCTTGGCAATTTGCCCTTTTGTTGTTAATGGAGACATCAGCATGGTTTTGGCAACAACAAAAATCGTACGAACACGTGGATCGGGCCATTAGAGGTTACATGTGAATAAGACCAGACAGCCAACACCTGAACTCTTTCTCTGCATCAGAAAAGCTAAAAGTGCAGTCCTGCAATATCGATGCTCACACCACTGCTGTGGTAGAGCCTCCACAAGAGAGCTCTAAAGGGCTCCTTCCTCGTCACCTATTTTGGCGTATAATTTCCACGCAGGCCAGACACTCCGGGAGATTGAACCGGAGACAACTGGATGGTGAATCCAGTCAGCTGACCATCATTATACCATGGCAGCATCCTCTTCCTCCATCTCATTTTCAATATGAAAATGTTTTTTTTTTTTAAATAGAGAGCCCCGCACATGCAGCTTTCCGGTAGCCATACATCCGTGCAAACATCCGTTATATTTTTCAAGGAAAAAACAAAAGGACGTTGGTGAAATTCGGAAGGGAAGCACTCCCATTGCAGGGAATGAGGGAGGCCCTGGCTGATGGAACTGCAGGGTCAACTGGGGAAGGTACACATCTGCAAACATTTACCATAGATGGCTCGTCTGTTACCTTCCATCTTAGGAGGCATGTCACTGTGGACATCTTTCCAAACGATAAGGAAAAAAAAACATGATTAACACATTCAAAACACGGACACGAAAGCAAGAGAATCGTGACGAAAAATAAATCTTAATTTTGTTTTATCAAATCATGATTGCATTTCACATTCGCGCCATGCTCATAGTGCGAGGCTATCACATAAGTGCTGCGTTTCACAGACACAAGTCTACAATCGCAGCTGGTAAAGTCTTACATGACAGTCTAGTTTAAAACATATTGTGTACAAAAAAAAGACACACGCGGACATCCCATCTTACTTTCGGGCACTCATTTGAAATATTATTGCGCAGATTACATCCCGACATGCTGAAATCCCTATTTATGAAAACAGATGCCTGCTGTCACTTTTGCACCGATGACAAATGTCTGCAATCCCGTTCCTATGGCTGTGGCGGTTTCCTGGTTAAGCCGCGGCTCACGGAGACTGACAGGACGATCGGTAGAGACGGAATTGGGAGCCCAATGGCTCTGCCAATATTGGTACAGAGTGCATCGGAATGCAGCCCTGGATGGAACAAGTTGCTCGTGTGGTCATCACGTGCGGACAGGCGTTTCTAATAACTCCTGTGTTTGTACAGTGTGGAATAAAAGATGAGGATAGAGATACCAAAGAAAGCCCTTAGCCATTTTATCATTGTAATTATCAATTTGTAAGTCGAATATGACGTTCGAATTTAACTATTTAAATGTTAAAGGTTGATTTTTTTTTTCAGTGTAATCATATACTCCTGCTGCAGCAGCAGCAATGTATTTTAATACATTGAAATTAACCTAAGATGTTTCAAGGCCTCATTAATATCAGAAGTGCAAAAGCTCCATGAAAGGAAGATATGTAATTAAATGCCATTTGCTGCACTGTAATCAACGCGTGCATTCATTTGTATTCATGAAGCAATTCAAAAAAGAGATCCCATCAGGAACAAATACCTTTTGCTCAATTCTTTACTTTCCACGTGATCATTGCCCTGCATGATATATGCTCAAATTAACACCCACTACCTTCTTGGACAAAATATCATAAGCGATGCCTGTACAAGAGCACACCAATTAGCCATTTCAAAGGGACACGCGAAAACCTCATGAAGTTAATTTGTTGAGAACGTCACGTATTACCATAAAAGTCGTAAGTGCAAAAAACAGCGGGAGAACATACAACTACAGCTGAGTCAGGAATCGAACACAGACCCCTTTTTTGCTGTGAGGGGCAAGCGTGACGAGTGCGCGAACCTGCTCTCCAGAGTTTTTGGTATCTGTCTTCGGTGTTCGAGGCTTAATTCATTGGTAGTGTGGCAGGTTTTCAAACAAATTCCAAGTCGAACATTTCAGCAGTTAATCCATTTTGACCCTCTATATTGAGAGAAAGCAGAGTGCCTGGCAATGTTGCACGTATGTCTGTTTCTGAAGTCAATTGGCTAATTGTACAAATATAAATGCGTCAGCCCGCAGAGTAAATCCCTTATTCGAATTTTTTTTTCTTCCACTAGACACAAATTGTATTTGATATCTGAACTGGTCCTGGGCCTCCCCTAGGTTGACTCGACCTTACAGGAATATTTTGCTGTTTTTTTTTTCCATGGATTTTCTGTTTTGCACAGTCACATAGTCACTTTAAGATGTTTTTCTTGTTCGTGTTTGTGTTTTTGTTTGTTTGTTGTGGTTGCACCCGATTCAAGAGCCGAATGGCTCACAGGGCTATACCAAAATAAATCAACTGAAAACTGAAAAAAAAAACTGAAAACTGGCGTGTTCTGCAAACATCATCACTGGGGAGATAGACAAAGGCGGGCTGGGCATGGTCCTCGCCACCACACTCCCGCGTGTGCTGTGCTTGCTAACGGCACACTTGCCGTTAGGGTTGCCACCCGTCCAGGTTTTTACAGGATCCTCCTCTTGTTCAGAGAGCTACCCTGGGAAATCCGTAATTCTTCCCGGAACATGAATAGTCACAGTTGTTGTGCCTGTTGTGCACCCATAGACCTCCAAGGGCAATGCATTTCCAAGTTCTAATAACCTTGCTCAATTAAAAACTATTATTTAATTACATCTTCAGAGTCTTTATACGTATTGGTTATATGTGTTGGTTTTGAAAGCCCACGATTAAAGTTTAATAGCGTTGTTTGTTGCTGGCCACTCGTTGCTTTGGGCCTTTAGCCGTGCACTTACAAACTGTGATGAAACAAGGACAAGAATCGCTTGAGGTTCTCCCCTGTTCCGGTCCAGCATTGTCAGATATTGTCCTCCTTGCCCACGATGTGTCCCAGAGGGGTCTTCTTCTTAAGCCTTACATGCCCCCCCCCAACAGTTGGACATCTGCGAAATAGAGCTTCATGGCTCATCGGATTCCTCCAATGTAAATAAATATTCTGAATCTAAGTATATTCGATGCCAACACAGCATGGGGGGGGGGGTGGCAGGGGGTTGGGGGGGGGGTGATCATTGTGCCTGCCACGCGCTGGTGGCTCTTACTTGCGATGCGCAGTTTGATTTTGTCGGAGACAGCGGTGCCCAGCTTGTTGGAGACCAGGCACTGGTAGTCGCCCTCGTGCCGCTTGGCGTGGCCGGTGCTGTTCTTGACGAAGGTGAACGAGCCCGAGCCCGCGGCCGTCACCACGCCCACCTCGGCTCTCGGGTCGAACGACTTGTCATTCTTCGTCCAACGATAACTGCAAAGGGGCCGTCCATTCAGCTGAGCCGGGTCGCTTTTGCAAGCATGAGACTCGCCTGGTCTCTTGAGTTCTAAATGCCAATGTTGAAGTCTGCTAGCAACGACGAGAGGGCTTCAGGAGAGAGCTCGTGTAGTTTTAATACTCCCTCCTTTGAATGAGCGCAAACTACCAGTATTCTACTCTATGGCTCACCTGGTTAAACAAAATAACCTTTGGCTTGTAGTTTATTTTCTGCTCAAATGACTATTGGAGGTGGGGCGGCACTCAACTCCCATTTACAGCCCTCAGCAGGTGGCGGAAAAGCCACGTTCTTATGGCAAGGGTCAGTCTAACCATTGGACAACCACCGTGGTATTCATTTTATGGACCCCAGAGGGATGATGGGCTGAGTCAACCCCCCGACCAGGATGCAAACTCGCAACCTTCTGATTGGGAGCTGCTTGCTCTACCGCCGAGCCACCTAGCCGTAAAAAAAAACTGCTCACTGCTCCACCCACAGAATAGTCGAGCGTGCCCTGTGAAGCTGGATTCCCATAGTTTGTCTCTAACTCGCATCTCGCTCACTCTGCATGGACTTTGCGTGCCGGATTATCACTGCCATATGGCGCCTGCATTCTCTGCACGCACTGTGACCAAATCACCCGGAACGTGCGCCAAATCTCTCCAGATTTCAGAAGCTAAGTGGGGGTGTAGCCTGGACTGTGCTTGGATGGGCCACCACTGTGCACAACAGGTTGTTTACAGGCTGTGAGGCTACGCTGACAGCAGAGGGCAGTGCAGAAAAATCCACTGTTGCACTGCTACGTCAATGCTCCCTCAATTATTCTCCAGCCTTCACCAACCCACACTGACCAGTGTGGTGAAGTATGGTCAAATAACTCACCAAGCTGCCACCGCCCCCCCACGCTGCACTGCGTAGAGAGGCCCTCATCCAGCATTGCAATTACAAAAGGTTGTACACAGCACTTTATTTCTCATGGAAAATTTCCAGGACTCCCCCAAATCCCCAAACCTCTCACCAGCAGCAGATGGGAGGGTGGGGAAATTACATTATTAAAATATAAATATAGACATGTTTTACCCAGGAAAGCCTCAATGAGACTCAAAACTCCTTTTCAGCAGAATATTGCGACGTTTCACAATACAAGTGATATTAAAATGTGTTATTGTGTTTATTTTTTTCCCACAAATGAATACGTTTGCGGTGCAATTTTTTACACATGGCCCACTCATTTCAAATAACGTCACGGGATCTGCGACGTCGATCGTGTAAATCAGGTTTGAGTGCATATCTTCGATGGTATTTATTATATATATTTTACCAGGAAAGGTCAACTGAGCTATGTAGCTCTTTTTTAGAAGTGACCTGGCCACAAATCATAGCGCAACGAAGTGGCTTATCATGTGGAAATTTACACCAGCCAAACACTTGAAACGCATGATAATTATGAATGTGGAAGGAAAAACCAGAGGACCCGGAGAAAAATCCACACAACCACGAGGAGAGAGACATGCAAACTCCAAATATACAGCAGGCATCAGCGTTGGGATCGAACCCACGACCTCCTGTATACCAGGCGAGGTAGTTAACATCTCGTCACCGCGGCGCCTTAATACACCCACTTAATACACCCGCCAGTGTTAGCCAGGACGGTGGTGAGGCTCGAACCGCTAACCTCAGCTTCCGAACAGGTCCAGCTGAAACTGACCCCTGGTTGTCCATGTGCACCGTGGATGCAGTCAACGGAGTGGGGCCCACCGCAGAAGCCCTGTGGGTTTAATGTGCAGCCGTGCGGCGGCACGGCTGGTTAACCACGTACCTCGGGGCAGGGGTCCCTTTGGCCTCACATTTCACTAAAATGTCCTCTAACGGGTCGACGTAGTGGTCAGTGGGGGACTGCTTCGTGATCGCAGGCGGTTGCTCCACTGTGGAACAAAAACGACACACATTAAAGCAACACTTCGGCGCTGTCAGTCGGCGGCTTCTGACTTACAATGCAGTAAATCACCTGATTTCTGCCCCCCAAACCGTACACCCCAAAACCCAATCCCGAGAATTTGATTTGAGAATCAACGTTTTTTTTTTTTTGTTCCCCGTCTCTCGTTTTGATTGTATTGCATCTCTATGTAGAGCCGTATTCGCTCCATGAGGCGAAATATTCCATGAGCATGAAGAGGTGAAAGGGAAAAGGTGCAGCCCTGCGATCGCCTGCTCATGTCATTGCTGGCTTGAAGGGCTGCCACGAGACAGAGCTCTAGAAGAGGCGCCTCTGGATGGGTATTTGGCCTACTCTGCTGGTCAGACGTCTTGGAAGAGGTGAGAGTGCCCACATTTTGCCCCACCAAAAGTGACTTGTCAATCGACTAACTGTGCATTGACGTGTAATTCGGATGAATGGTAAATCGTAGTTTTCCACGCACACAATTCGATGCGCATACTGTAAGCCATCAGAATCAGTTGTAACTGATGAACCGATGCATCAACATATTTTGTGTGCGTGCTTATCTTTTGTTATTTTACATTTGAACAACCAGAAAATATAAATGGTTAAGGCGCTACAAAAGCTGTGATTACTGCAAAAGCAATGATTACAGAAGGAATATGGTTCAAATCGAATTGTACTGCATTTTTTTTATACAATTACAGATATTCAAAGCGACATTACCCGTGTGTGCATGTTGTGTCATTATCGTCAGTCGTTCCAATTTTTATGAGGATGTATTCTTTCTTGAAATCATAATTAGTGTGGCAGATGCTTCAAATGAAAAGAGACAAGAAAAATAATCTCCTTGGAAAAAAAACATGAACTTCGTTAACAATTTAAGCAAGAAGAGCCCCTTACTATAAAATAATACATCTGGCATCAGTAGTAATATTCAAAGTGGCTATAAAAGGGTGAAGGTGCAGTTCTGAAATTGCATTGCTCATGCCACGCTGGTGGAAGGGCCTCCCACGAGAGGGAACTCTACAGAGACCACCTAAACAGGTATTTGGCCTACTTTTCCACGCTGGTCAGACGTGTGGGTTAGAGCTGGGAGTACCCACACTCCACCTTACTGCGCGCAATCTGCCAATCGACTTGCTCGTGCCACTGCCAGTAGAAGGGGCTTCCACTCTAGAGGGAGACGGCCTAGAAAGCCTCACCTCCCAATGGGCCTACTCTTCCACACTGGCCAAACGTCTCGGAAGGGGTGGGAGTACCCACACTTTACCCTAACGCGCTTTGCCGCCGAACGACTAACCGGAATCCATTTACACTGCAGGGTGGACCGAGGCAGTGGGGGCGGGATTTAGTAATCCTTGCCGTTGTTCCAACTTTGGCGCCAGAAGATCAAAGCCGTGACCGCTGGATTGCAAGTCCAGTGGGGTAAACCATTACACATCACGGCGGCTTCCAAACTGGTGGCACGATTTTAAAACGTTTCTGATCTCTACAACGTTCCAGTCGCAGTGGCCTCTTGCGCAGGAATTGGTAATATCATTGCAGAAAGTTGAAATGTGCATTTGGCGCATCGAATGTGCCGCGTATTACTAAAGATGTGGGCAGGTGGCACATTGTGGTGTTTTTCTCACTCAATTAGCAATGCCTGTTGTGTGCGATCGGCAGTGACGGAACCTATAAACGTTTTAATTGCACGCGTTTCTGATCGCAGTTATAGTTTAGCGAATCACGTTCCTCTTGATGTAATGCCACACTGTCTTGGAAATCAATGGTCCGTTCAGAACAAGTTCTGTCAACAAGTCTGTGCAGAGACTACACAAGTGGAGTCCAGCTGAGCATTGTAGCAAGAGTGAACAACTAAATACAGAGCAGAACCATCATTTGTTAACATATTTAAAAAAAGGATCTACGAAAGCAAATCGCTTGTTTGGGGTTAATTTTAAGCAGCAAACGAAGATTGCCTGGAGGATCAAATTAGTTAAACAGATGTGTTCCACGATACCTAACGAATGAACTCATATCGTAATTGATAGTGCATCGAAAGTTTGGGAAAGGTTATAAATTAAATAGAGTGTAAGTTTTCTGTAATCACAAAAGGTAATGTGGGGGAGAAGGAGACATATAAACAGAGATGAGAGACTGAAATACAGGAATTTGCAGCGAAATAAATCAACAATATTGCGGATGCATGCACCGTTTGTGTATCTTGGGCTCTCTGGCACGATGCTCAAGCATTATTTGTAATTAAAAAAATACTTTAAAGTTACTTTTAAGTACCCCCCCCGCCACCGGTTAATCATGTGGGTGTATTAACCAAAAACATGTGCCGTTTTTTTAAGTGTAGACCATGTGTCCCGGTGTCACGGTCCAAATTTACCAAGTTTAACACGTAGGCTTTCGCGACCAATATCATCCATAAGAGTTTTTTTGGGGTTAGATCGCGATCTAACCCCAACGTGATCTAACCCCAAAAAAAACCTCTATTATGGACAAATTTACCAAATTTGAAAATGACCCGCAAATTAAGTAATTTGACCGAACCACATTGAAAGATCACCCCCTACTGGCAGCCTATGCCCATCAGGGTTACATACGGCCTTCGTGATAGCACATCGCTATAAGGATGACGATAAAAACAATAGTTTTTAACGCAATTACTTTAGCGAGGTCAATGCATTGACATTTTGAAACGTATGGCCGCGATGTCACAGTTTATGTCACTAAGGCACTCTTAACAGTGGAGGTGGCTGAGTGGCTGAGATCCGAATTCTGAGATGGCACTGTTAAGATTCTGGGTTTGAATCCAGTCAGTGAGTTCATGGTCTCAGCCTGGTCACGCGAAAAAAATGCACGCGAATAAAAATATTGATCAAGTAACATTTTCTTCTGCATTCACTTCATTTGGCTATATTTCATGTCTGAGAATTCAAAATATCAGTCTGACTCGTCATATGAGCAGAATGGGCTGGGGAAAGTGATGCCCTACCCTGTGCGGATCAGAGGTCACTTGAACAGAGCTCAGATTGTAGCTCTGTGATACCTGCTTTTGTGTTGCCATTACAGATGCTGATATCACTGCCTAATTTAGAGATCAAAATTGATGTTTTGTCTTGTTATACGACACTGATAGCACAATCGGGATATCAGGAAATAATACATTTTTAAAAAGCACATTAAAGTCGTTTTTCAACGGTTTCACTTGACTCCTGTTTGTCGTGGTCAAATCTTGCAATCAAAATTTTGTCTACTTCCTGTTGTCCAATCAATTCCAAATTTTGCACACGTACTCAGATCCGGTGACAATGCGTGCCTGTATCAAAATCGGCATCAATTAATAAAGTAATTTGCTACTTTAAAGCAATTTGCATTCTGTATGGATGCCTTATTATTTTTATATATATTTGTGTAGGTAAAAAACGCCGCGGTCCCTGAACTCTCGAATCGCCTTCTCCGTGTGAACGCGTTACGGAAGTAATCAATTAATTCAAGTAAGCGTTGACGTGGGGGGAGCAGGGGCGGCATCATTGACGTACGTCTCATTAACAAAGCACCCCAACTGGTGTTGGACATCCAAACACACTCACCATGGCTACGTATCTGCAAGAACAAAACATATTTGTTGGAGTGTGCATTTCCCCTTTTAAAAACATCTTCATGAGAGGAAGCGTTGAATTAAATTACGCGTAACAGAGCACCCACTGATATCTACATTTGTGCACTTCATGTACATGACACGTGGTCGTTAACCGGTCCACACGATAACACAGCAGCTGGCTTTGGAACACACACAGAGACACTGCAGTACAGCAGGAATTTGCATGACTATGTAACTAAATCGACAAGCAGAGAGTGTGCAAGCAACTATCGAATAATGATTGCTATTGAAAGCACATCAACGGTAATCAACTTGCTATATGTGCAAGCATATAGTGCTTCAATGTCCTGTGCTTGAACGCCAATGGGTTTATTCTTTTTTTCCCCCAAAAGCCTTAAGATAATTGACGGCAACACATTGCATGAGAGATGCAGATTGGCTTTCCCTTTGCCACCCGTGCCGAATGCGCTGCGAGACATCATCACAGCATCCCGTTAACTAATCGGATTCATTAAGATGCAAAGCGCACGGGACACACTTGAAACACAAAAAAAACATTATGAGCACGACAAAAAATATTTAATTAATTACCAGCGATTAACCAAATTGCATAGGTGGGGTGGGGGTACGTGGTACTGGCTGATTAACTCACAGCTGAGGTTGGGAATTTTGATCAATAAGCACAGCTCACATTCAAACGCCGCATGACGTCGCGCAGCACACCGAGCCTGACGCAGAGGCTCTCTGGCTCAATGATTGCGAGGGGCGTGCGATTACGGCAAGCGGCCGTTCCCGGCGTCGCGTCGCGTGAAAAATCACGGGCGACGGGCAGCGTTGCAGTTTGCCGTAATCTGCCGCGAAGGTCTAACCGAGGCTCCCGTCTTCTTGCACGGGAACGGGGGGAGGTGGGGGGGATGGAGGCAAAAAAAAATCACGCCCGACTTTGCGCTTCGCAAACGTCTGCCTGTCGAATGTGGAAGAGGCTCTGAGCAAGGTGGGACGTAATGGGGCCTCGTTTAGCGTAATGGTGCGCCGTACAGCACATGACTCAGGATGGCGCGCGGTAAATTGAGAGAGATGCTCGGATGTCCGCGGATAATGGCCATGCAATTACACGTGTGTGAGTTACAATAAAATAAAAAAAATGAGGGGGGAAAAAAAACGTGCATGGAGATCACCCTTCGATGAGGCTTTTTTTAATGGGCAACTTGATGGCAGGGAAATGGAATTTTCTTCGCGGTTACTATGGGCGGAGTGATGTGTGAAATCTAGAATGCATATCACTCGAATGCTTTTGTACAGATGGCAAGTGCAACGGGGTCACTTACCATTCTCCAGAAGTGTGGCTTAACATGTTAAGAAAGCGTGAGTCAAGAACAATGTACTGTTAGTATGCAAGTTTGGAAAATAAGTGTTAAAATCATAAGCCATTGTTAAACATTACCATTCTGCAGTCAGAGGCTTATGTGCGCCTCTTCCAGACATAGCGAAAGATAGCTACGTTGAAGTTACTCAGATGCACTCTGAACATATCGGTTTAAAGTGTGCGACATACCACACACAATTAAAAAAAAACACGTTTCACAGAGATGCCACCGTGGAACACAATTACAGTGACCGCTCGCTCTAGATCGCACTCTTTTGTTTTGCAAGATTGCCATAAAACAAATGGTGACAGATAATCCATTGGCATTGTAATTTTTTTTTATTATTAAATTCACAAAGCATTATATAGAGGTATGCTTAGAGATGGGCCGCTGCTCAAAAAGGTCCCAGCAAATACAAATTAAACAAATACAAGATAAACCCACTTATCAACGTGAACTGACAATTTAAACCAATTTTTTTGTTGCTGCATGCTTTGAAGGGCCACTGCCCGAAACGTCGCCTTATTATATATTTACCTTATTAAGGGCACACACACACACATTATTTGCTTGACGAATGCATTTGAAGAAAAATAATTTTGCTCCGTTTGTTACTTGTGCCTGTGCACCATATTACCGACGCAGCAGCAAGAGCGAAATCAACCGAATAATTTGTTAAAATCGAGAGGGCTGTGCTCCTTAGCGCCACCGCAATGGGGTTAGCACCAGGGCAACGCGCTCAGCCTGGCACCGAAATCGGCTTCCAGCGCCGGTGCGCTGTAAGCGTCGCCACTGGGGAGACAAAGGCGGCCGAGCGTGGCTGCTGGCCCACCTCCCACCCCCTGCCTCGCGTGCCACAGCGCCAGCCTTCGCAGGTGCTGCTCGCTAACAGCACTCGCCCCCAACAGTCTGCTGCAGGCTACACACGTGGGGGGCGGAGGGGGGGGGGATCTTGCATTTGTGTGCGCGCGTGCGCCACTCACGGTCTATGGGGATGTCGATGGAGTCTGACGTCACCCAGAGGGTCGCGAGGAGGGCCGCCCCCGCCAGCAACGTGCGGCGTCGCCATGGCAACATGGCCCCGTCGGCTGGTGTTGCAGACACGGAGGCTCGAGTGCTCGCGGGCGGCAAGGGGAAGAGTCCCTCTCCTCCTTCTCCTCCTCCGCTGTCGTCTCTCTCTCTCTCGTTCGCTCGCTCCTTCTCTCTCTCTCCCGTCTCTCTCTCCTTCTCTCGCTCGCTCGCTGTCACCGCTGCTCCTTTTCTTCACGCGACGGCAATAACAACAACAACAAAGGCGCGGTCGCGGCACTCCGGAGTCGGTCTCGCCGGGTGGTCCCACCGACCCGCACCACTGTCCCCGTTCACTGCGGGTGATGTCGATGGACCACCGCTGCCGCTGCTGCCGCTGCCGCTGTAAAGAAGGGAGTGGTGGTGGTGGGGGGGGGAGGTGGAAATCCGATGGAGTTAAAAAAAAAAACAAATGGAAATAAAATACAATAAAAGCCTGCCGCCATCAATAATGCATGATCAAAAAAAATGGAGCCAGTTTCTTCCTCCCGGAATTGCATCGATCGCGCGGACGCGCGCCAATTGTCTCGCGGGCGACGCGACGCATCGATGCAAAACGGCAAACAAGACAATAATACTCTTTGCGACAAGGCGATATTTTACACACAAAAAAAAAATTTCAGCTGTGCGCCGCGGCCCTTGCGAACGTGAAGCTACGGCGCGTCTGCAGGCGAAAAAAAACCGGAGCGCTAAAGACTGCGCGAGCTCACCTCGTGGGGGACAGCAGATTGCACTGAGGCTGTCGCCACCGGGGCCCCTAGGCGAACCGTGGGGGGTGGGCGGTGGTGGTGGTGGTAAGGAGACGTAGTGGGGGGTGGGTGGTGGTGGTGGGAGGAAGGAGACGTAGTGGGGGGCGGGTGGGTGGTGGTGGGGGGAAGGAGACGTAGTGGGGGGTGGGGGGTGGTGGTGGGGGGAAGGAGATGTAGTGTGGGGAGGTGGTGGGGGGAAGGATACGAGTGGGGGGTGGTGGTGGTGGTGGGGGGAAGGAGACGGGTGGGTGGTGGTGGGGGGAAGGAGACGTAGTGGGTGGTGGTGGGGGGAAGGAGACGAGTGGGGGGTGGGTGGTGGTGGGGGGAAGGAGACGAGTGGGGGGTGGGTGGTGGTGGTGGGGGGAAGGAGACGAGTGGGGGGTCGGTGGTGGTGGGGGGAAGGAGACGTAGTGGGGGGTGTGGGGAGGTGCGCGATTCTGCCCGTGCTGAAAGCAAGCATCGCAAAATTGCAAATGCGTTCCATTCCCATAGCACTGCGTTCATGGAATGACATTGTTTATCAAGCAATCTCAGCAGCCTGGGAGAAACGACAGAGATAATCGACAGCTGACCCCTTAAGTCAAACAAACAAACAAAAAATACATTTTTAAATCCGCATGAAGGTCCATTATTAATTGCCCAAGATAAAACCGGGCGTGACTTCAATTAAGGCCGAGACAAACGATTATTATTCTGACTCGTCGTCTTTTTTTTGACTGGGTATTTTAGTTGCATTATAAAATAACATGGAATGCCTCTGCGAGGACGGTCCACCGTAGGTAGAGATTGTGCGATGAAATCCGCTGGCGTTGCAGGTGCAAGCCGGATTATAATACCATCGCAGGATCATGACAGACGGCTGCTGCTTGGGAACGATCTCATCCAGCTGTGAATTAACCACGGCTGGCAATGATGCCGATGATGCTATAATAACAATTGAATCTGACGCCGCGAGTTGGGATTCCTGGCCACAGCTAAAATCAGTGACGAATGAGATCTGATCCGTTCCCTCAGCTCCTCCTTCGCCCAAACCCGTCCTGACGTGGTGAAGTATGGTGGAACAACCCCCTTAAGCAAAGGGCACGAAGGACAGCTTTCATCCCACAGTGGATTGGAGAAGGGCTGTGCATTATTACTGCCATGCATGTGACAGGCACGCGGAGGAACACCTTCCATCGTTATTTTGTTGCAAGGCAAGCCAGCCTACGGCATGCTGACTCAGATGCGAGGCCCAGCACTGCAGCTCGAAGATGCAGGAGGCATCCCTTAATCACTTGCCAGTGACGCACGCAAGGATGCTACAATGTCAATTACCAAAGGCAGGAACGATCGGAGGAAAAAAGCAGGCGCGCTAAACTACCAAACCGGTCAACAGAATCACCGTGACTTTCATCGATCCACTGCTGGATGAGAGCCTCCCCACGCTGTGCCCATTCCTGGGGGTTATTTTTTTTAACCGTATTTCACCTTGCCGGCCCATGGGCGCTGATGAAGGTGGAGGAACATGCACGTGGGGAGGGCGTGGAAGTAGAATACAACAAAGGATATGGCTGCAGAGCCTTCTCTGCTGCCCACCATGTAACCGCACAACCTGTACCTGTTCTGCATGGCCGTCACCGGTCAGAGCACCAACCAGGCTGAAACCTGCTTAACTTCAGAGATCTCGCGAGATTGGCCGTGTTCTATGGAATTTTGGTCGTAGGCGTCCCATTTCACCGAACGTCCGTGCCATTTGCTGCACAGCCATGGAGTCATAAAACAAATCATCCCAAGACTGTTCCTTCTCATCGTAATGGCTTCCAAACTGTCTCGAATAATAGAAATAACAAAGCAGCCAAGATAAACCCAAGAGAGATTCATTATGCACGACGCTCGCCAATTTCCCAATGCGCCTGCACAACGACGGCAGTCATCCGTTTATCGACGCAGAGACAATTCCACGGCTTAAAACGCAATCTACCGCGCCACGAAAACGGCGCGTTCGAGGCTACAAGCGAGCCCCGGTCTGCCGAATCCGCGCGCGCACGCACGCACGCCACAGCCAGCCAAGGCGAACAAGTGCGGCATCTTGAAATGAAGCCCATGCATCTGCAGAAATTACCGTCAGACCGCCGCCCGTGGCATTGGCTCACGGGCGCTCTCTCCGACAGCGAGCGAACGCCTGCCCGCCCGCTGAGGCGGGAGGAGGCGCCCCCCCCCCCCCCGCTCGCTACGCCGAAACTCGGCTCACTCCTCCCTCCGCAATTAGGGGCTTCTGGCATTCGGCCAGATGACGGCACCTCGTTTGATTAAATGTGCCACTTGCAAATTAGGATAACAACGAGGGTCACCCCCTCCCGCCCCCTTACACCACTCCCCCCCCCCAACAGAGTAAGTTTTTTTAATTAACATTACAAAGGCAATATTTATGAAGTGATGTCGATGACCGCTGCAGAGGTTGATTTACTTTGATTTAAGCGACGGTCCACGCAATGAGCTTCGTCGTCATTAATGAAATTAATTTGGCAAATGAAAGGCCCGCGATGAATTTTTGCTGCAGCAGGCTTCGTGCAAAATTTGACAATTTTACGTTTCGCAGTTACATGTGGGATCCTTGCGTGGACGTATAACATTTCAAATTAGCAAGTTGTTCACGTCTACAGAGAACTGAACTCTTGTAAAAGCGTACGGATGTGATCTTCATGTTCACCACCACCATGGTTGTGAAGACAAGGCAGGGGATAGTATTAATTTTGTCAATTCCACATATCCTAACACTGTTTAAATGAAAACGGTGCAGAATATAAACTTGTCCGCTTCAGTCCAGCAGGCCCATCGTGGGACTATATGTTACTGAGTGTTTGATGAACGTGAAAATGAGTCTTGGATTCACAAACATTTCACATATGTTACAATAGAGCCATTGCGTAATTGATTGTCTGGAAAAATATTGACAGATATCTTTCCCATGTGCTTTTGAGTCGTACTGCGCGCTATTTGGCAACGATGTCCGACGTTTTGCTGTGTGCTGGGAGCTTCTTTAAGAACTAATTCAGCATGTAGACTGTAGAGTGAAATGTCAAACGTCATGCCGAAGAGCAGAGTACAACTCTAAAACACATCGGTAAGTTTTCCAGCAATACCGCAAAAAAACCTACGCAGCAGTATCGTCGGACGTGTCCCTTGGTTTACTAAAATATGGACCATTACATTGAATAAGCCAGCTTAAATTTTGATTTAAAGCTTTCGTGACTGCAGGAATTCATATTCTTGGTTCTTTCGGTAAAGTCACGTAGAAGGGAAACAATAAAATAATTCAAAAATAATAAAAATATAAAATACAATTATTTTATTGTTTCCCTTCTACGTGACTTTACCGAAAGAACCAAGAATAAGGCAGCTAAACTTTACACAGTTTCGCATCAAAAACAGAGATGTGATATCTGTATTAACTTCATGATTACCATACACGCCTTAGGGCGCGATGGTCAGATCAAATGTGTCTGTTAAACAACCTACGTTATGCATTCGGTATTGTCAAACTTACATTTATTTTTTTTAACTCAGCAATTGTGCCCGCCAAACAGAAATCTCCATCAGAGCTCATGCATAATTAAAGACATGCTATGCGTTTGTAAGGTTAAAGATTTTTGGCGTTTCCGCATATGTTGGCCTAGATTTTAAGCCAGTTAGTGCGGCCAGCCTCGTATTAATTTTTAAAGCGCCACTGGTGTTTAGCATCTGGGTAGGGGCCTGAGCTTGGTGCCTTTATTATTAATGACCCCTCTCCACTGCTGGGCGCAGCACTCATGGGCGGGTACCCACAAAGTGCCACCGCCTCCGTGAGCTGCAGCGCACCCAGACATCTTTTGTATTGAGTGGCTTTGCACCCATCATAGCAGCTGTCCAAGGGACGCTGCTACCTACATCCGTCAGTCGCACTCCGCTTCACCGTGGTATTGCGGCGACTATCTATCCAATTTGCTGAAAAGCAACGAAATGAAATAAATAAATCAGTAATCTCCAGACCACCTTATTTCTAATCAAAAAATGTTAAGATGCCCAATGAGGATGGCTACCAGATGGAGATTGCGACTGTATCTCTGAATGGTTTTTCACAACGAAAATAAAACACTGTGCACATTTGCTCCCTGACCTCATCTAAACCGAGCCGAGTGAGCTGCAAGCTCAGTTTTACAAATGCCGCTACTACAGCCGAGTGAACGCGGGGGAATGGAGATCTATCCAGCAGCAAATGAATAATTTGGCGGGACCCCGGGGTCCCGCAAAAATCAGGTCAATAATTATTATTTTTTAGTCCGCCCACTCGTGATCCCGACAGCAACGCGCCGCCCGCCCAGACTCGCGCCAACAAGCGCTAGCAGGCGGCGATCAACACGATGGGTGCCACCCCACCGGCCAAACGAAAGCCCCGGGGGGCGTCCGCCGCAGTCGCGCGCGGCGACGACGCCCTCCGGTCAGCCGTCGATCCTCAGCTTCTTTGCCAAGGCGAGCCCGCCGCCCCGGCAGTGAATTTAATGTGTTGATGTAATTTTCAACTTTTTACGAAACTGAGTGCCCCAAGTAGCTCTCGACGAGGCCAATCGATTGACCA